GGAAGCCGATTTAAAGGATAGGTTACAAACCACAGATAATAGCTCAGCAATTTCCCATTTGAGTTCTTTTAGAACCCTTGGATGAATGCCATCCGGTCCCGGAGATTTGTTAACATTAAGTTTTTCTATTTGTTCCAAAACCTCCTCTAATGACACTTCAATCCGGGACAGTTCCTCAGATTCATCACCCACAAAGGACGGTGCAGATTCAGGAATCTCCCCAACGTCCTCAGCCATGAAGACTGAAGCAAAGAAATCATTTAGTTTTTCTGCAATGGCTTTATCATCCTTGATTGCTCCTTTTATATTTCGATCATCTAGGGGGCCCACAGATTTTTTTAGGAGGCTTCCTGCTTCTAATGTACTCAAACGTTTTGTTGTTTCTTTGAGTTTTTGGCTAGCTGTTCCTCAATCTCTTGTTGCTTTTCTTATTACATTTTTACACTTTATTTGACAGTCTTTATCTTCCTTTCTATTTATCTCACTAGGATTGGACTTCCACTTGTTAAAGATACCTTTTTGTCCCTCTCTGCTTCTTTTACATGGTGGTTAAGCCACGGTGACTCTTTTTTAGGTCTCTTGCTATGTTTTTTAATTTGGGGTATACATTTAAGTTGGGCTTTTGTTATGGTGTCTTTAAAAAGTTTCCATGCAGTTTGCAGGGATTTGGCTCTAGTCATTGTGCCTTAATTTCTGTTTAACTAACCTCCTCATGTTTGTGTAATTCCCCTTTTTGAAATTAAATGCCAAGGTGCTGGACTGCTGAGGTGTTCTTCCCACCACAGGAATGTTAACTGTTATATTATGGTCACTATTCCCAAGCGGTCCTGTAATGGTTATCTCCTGGACCTGATTCTGCGCTCCACTCAGGACTAAATCGAGAATTGCCTCTCCCCTTTTGGGTTCCTGCACCTGCTGCTCCAAGAATCAGTCATTTAATCCATTGAGAATTTTTCTCTCTGCTTCTCTAGTCACCATGGGCACTATTGTAGGTAGATAAAACTAAAGTCCTTCATTCTTTCTGTCACACCCACTTCGGTTGCTCAATCACTGGAAACATATTCTGTGTTTCTCTGGTCACTTTGGCACAGAATATGGATATAGCCATTGACACAGATTTGTTGATGAGACTTACACTGTTGCACAGATTTCAAGCTATCACAAATTGCAACTACTAAATTAATGATATAGTTAAAATGTCCTAATTCTTTCAGTATTGGACAATCAACATAATCTTTCCACTAGAATACCAGCACGTACCCTTATCCAAATTTGAACAGCGTGGCTCATTTGTTCTTTTTATTTCTGGTTTTTTTCATGAGCTTCTGTTTAGATGCCAAACTGGAAGAATCTCTAGCCTGAATACAGGAGAGGGGACATGGAAACTTAGATGAACTTAAGTTACCTAAGTAGCTAAAAACCTAGAATTGTTATACAATCTTATGAAAAGTAACATAAGAAAATGGCAGATTAGAATATTTTATCTAGTATCCCAGAATAATTAAAGTAATCTCTGGACCTTTTTTAAAAAACTACTTAACCAGTGTCTTTCCACTCCATACATCATCTTCTTTCTACAACTAACAGAAGTTTAATGTCACCTCCTTAAATATTTAAGACCTTTCTTGGAAGGTGAGGAAAATGATTTTATCAGATTAAACATTTTAGCTGACATTGAATCAATGTTTGACTGCTTCATAGCTTTTGATGAAGTAATAAATTACCAATATTTAAATATACAACAGTTTTGCATCTTCCCTTTACTTTGCTTCTAAACTCAACAAATCATGAGTGAGTTTGTGAAAGTTCTGTTTATTGACAAGTGTTGGTTAAATGTAGTGTGATTATAGCCTTTTAGGAATTTAACATAATTTCTTTATTCTTTTTGAGGCACTTGAAATTCATATTAGAATGTTTAATGCATACAAATGTGGTAGATGTGTAAGGTGCTTTTTAAATATTAAGTCATACTTATGCTTCTGGAGTTAATTTATAATACCATATACACTAATTGAGATGAATATTTGAAGTTAAGTGAATTTTTAGTGCTATTCTGATTGAGGTGGAAACACATTTATTTTTATATTTCCTGGCAATGAGAAATCAAACTCTTCTAGGTGTTAACTCTGACAAAAATACACCTAACATTTCTTTCCTCACTAGTCAGAGCTTCTAAACTTCCTTCTTGAAACCAACTCTCTGCAGCTATAGTGAATATTTTTTACCATATCATTGTCAGTTTGTGCTATATTTAAATAATTTCAAGAGATGAAGGAATAAACCTGTTAGATAAATTACATTTGCTTTTGGGCTATTGTAATGTATTTCTTTGTAGTCTTACTAAAGAGAACTTGGAGTTCTATTAATAGAATGCTGGCACTTCCTTAGAATGCTGGCACTTCCTTACTAATGACTAGCCTACTTTAATTATTATGAATAGGAAGAGGTCACTTTACTCATTTCTCTTTTTTTCAGATGTTTCAAAATATTGAGTGCTAATGGTGAACCAAAGGTATTCAGACCTAGGGACCGTGATGATATTGTAAAAACTGTGATTGAACCTATGGCCTCTGAGGGACTCAGAACTATATGTCTAGCATTCAGAGACTTCCCAGCAGGAGAACCTGAGCCAGAGTGGGACAATGAAAATGATATTGTCACTGGTCTTACATGCATTGCTGTTGTAGGGATTGAAGATCCTGTGAGGCCTGAGGTAGGAAGAACTCTGAATTAATTACCACTGTTAAGCTACTTTTGCTAAAATCTTCACCCGAATCCGTTTTAGTTCCTTGATATTTTTTACAAGATTACTTGTGAAGAGAGTCTTATTTACTGTGCGGTGAAATGTGGTCCAGAAACCTAGTGAAAGTCTGTCTCCAGCTAGGAGACTATAAATATGGAATAATTATGATTTTCATATTGCCAGTATGTTCTTGGATCCCTCTACAAACTAATGACCAATTAAGAAAATGGAACTGTAAATACTTGGTAATAATGCATTCACGAACTTGGGCATTAAACAACATTATTTAAGAACAAATCTCATCTCAGGGGTATTGGAATATTTGTGAACTTCTTTATGCAGTTCAGCACTAGAAGTGGCCGTAATAACATAATTCAACTCTATAGTTCATGTCAGGAATACAGTGCATCTTTTTTCAGCAGTAGAATTTGGCCTTCCAGACTTCAGTTACTGTAATCACACGTTACTTAATTTGGTGCTAGAACAAGTAGTAGGTAATCAACATGTAACTTACGGTAACAAGCTTTTCTTGCATAAACAGGTCCCAGATGCAATAAAAAAATGCCAGCGTGCTGGTATAACAGTGCGCATGGTCACTGGTGATAACATTAACACTGCTCGTGCTATTGCTTCCAAATGTGGCATTCTGAATCCTGGTGAAGACTTCTTATGCATAGAAGGCAAAGACTTCAACCGACGAATACGCAATGAAAAAGGAGAGGTGAGTATCTTCTGTAGGTTTGTATTTGTCTTTTATAATGTTTTATTTGTACTGCATGGCTAATGTGCATTCTTTGTACAGATAGAACAAGAGCGAATAGATAAGATTTGGCCAAAACTTCGTGTTCTTGCAAGATCTTCACCCACTGACAAACACACATTGGTAAAAGGTAAAAGTTCATTCAACATTTCATAAATTCAGAAAAGTTTTTAGCGAACTCTGGCTTTTTAACAATTAAACTAGGCTTTCCCACTTTTATCTGTAAATATTTGAGCTTAGTAATTGAGTTCATGTCTTTTCACCCCAGTCCTTTCACCCAAGAAGTACTAGGCAAGATTATAGTGCAGTGTTCCTTAAACTTTTTAGACTGAGGAACACCAAACAATTTTTTTTATGGGGAACACCAAGGATTTTTTTGTTGGGGGGGCGAGGGGCGGGGCGGGAGGAGGAAGCCTCCAAGGAAAAGTTGAGCAAAAAATAAAATAAAATAGAAGCTTTCCCCTTTAAGGGCAGCCATTCCCCAGGGGAAAGTTGTTGACCAAAGGAAAAAAGCCCCCAGAGAAGTTGAGCAAAACAAACAAAAACAAAGAGGCTTGTCCCTTTAAGGTGGGCCATTTTGAAATCTCTTCTCCATGGCGCACCTCTGACTGCCTTGCGGCACACTGGTGTGCCATAGAACACAGTTTAAGAAACGCTGTTCTAGTGGGTATCTATCAGCATTGATCCTTAATTATCTGGGAAAAGTGATCTTTACTATGGGGCTGACTGAATGCCACCATTTGAGACAATTCTTTGGTTGAATACACTTAACTTCCAGCCCTTTTTAATGTGAGAAATAGGAAACTAGAGAAAGCCATATAGCCTGAGTATTGTGCTCTGTATTTATACACAGTTAACTTATTTCACAAATTTGTAATTACCAATGCTGAAATTCAAATCTTTGTGCGCTTTCATTTTAGGTATAATTGACAGCACTGTCTCAGAGCAGAGACAGGTTGTAGCTGTAACTGGAGATGGTACTAATGATGGTCCAGCACTGAAGAAAGCAGATGTTGGCTTTGCCATGGTATGGATTCTAATCTCTTTATTTTCAGTGTCTTTTTTTTTAAAGTAACTTGATATTTTAGCTAAAACAAGGCTAAAAAAAAATTGTTCTTGCTGTAAGTGAATTGACAAAACTGAACAAATTTGCTTGTACAGGTTAACCAGGGACTCCCTGGTCTGGCAACATCTGTGGTCTATGCCACAGAGCCCAGGAACAGGGAGGTCTGGCAGTGGGGCAGGAACACCAAAGCAGGCACCAGCAACTGAGCCGGGAGTCCAGTATCGGAGGAGGGAAATGGGAAAAAACGGCGTCACACTCTGGCTCCAGTGGCAGCTGTGGAGCCCTGGCCCTGTTCCAGCTCCAACAGCTGGGGACCACCAGCCTCAGGGGCAGCCAGAAATCTGTGGCCCCGCCCACAGAGCTCCGGCCCACAGAGCTCCGGCCCCAGCCGCAGAGCTCCGGCCCTCCTGCGGCACTCCAGCACTGGTGGGCTGGGGCAGCAGCGTGGGCAGGGTGGAGCCCTAACCCGGTGGCAGTACAGGCCAGGAGGGGATGGACTGTCCCTGGTCCAGCAAATCCCCTCTTTCGGGATCAGGCAGGTCCTGAGGGTGCTGGACTAGCAACTTCCTCCAAATATAGTTTGGAGGCTCACTGGGATACCAAAAGTAGCCTTATAGTTACCACTTTCTGCACCTTTTTTCTTCAGACTTTACTTTTTAACCTAAGGTTCCGATTTTCAGCTGTAGAGGAAGGTGTGTTCTTGTGTCATAAGATGTTGAATTAAATCTATTTAAAAGTATATACACTGATCAGTATTACAAATTACAAATAAAGGTGTTTTTACCCTCAAGTTCATTGCTACCTCTTATTTCACAAGAAAGACAGCATTAGTGATATTGTAATTCAATGCTTATCCAGATGCTTAAAATGAGAACTTGATAAGTGTATTGCAGTTGATTTTTCTATAGAAATAATCTCTTATCAACAACGTACCCTGTTGCAGATTTGACTGATAGGTGGGAAAAAAACTTAGTACTAAAATTTTACTAAGGATATCTTCCTTCAGTACTACTTTGATCTCTGTTATTTGTCTAAAGTTGACCTCTTCGAGGAGAAGTTTATTTTGAATGAGTTTTGGAAGGAACTGGAAGCTCTCAGGGGTCCAGATGGTATCAAATACAAAGGATGTTGGGTCTTTGGTCTGAGCAGTGCTTGTAGATGTCATGGCCCACTACACCTGGAGACACCCTCAAAGAACAGAGAATAAGGCTTTGGGCCACAACCTCTGGTTGCATCTGTTTAACAAATTCCTTCCAAGGTTCCATCTTCTAAAAAATACACTTTAGTTCAAAAAAATTATTTCAGGGTAGTTCTATGGTCTGCATTATGCAGAAGGTCAGAATAGATCAGGGATGGGCAAAATATGGCCTACCAGCTGCTAAGTCTCTATCACAGCAGGTTTCTCAGGCAGGCATGCTGCCTATCATAGCCCCACCTATGCTACTCACGGAAGCAGCCAGCTTCTGCTAGCAAGCATATCTCTGTGTGCCGATTGGGATGAGTGCATTGTCATCTTTCACTCTCTTCTAATAGCTATTTGGCCTGACTCTGTCACATGGGACATCTCTTTGTATTAGAATCTGGGTATTGTAACTTTCTGGCTAGGTCCTGAGAGGATGGAGAGCAGCTGGTTTGCATCTTAGATTCTCCTAAATTAATTTTCCATGGCTTACTAGAAAATTCCAGGCCTCTTTTGATTCAGATACTAACTTTGGACTGAATCATAGAATCCTAAAACCCTAGAGCTGGAAGGGACCTCACAAGGTCATAAAGTCCAATCCCTTGCCCTCACAGCAGGACCAAGCATCGTCTAGACCATGCCTGCTAAATGTCTATCTAACCTGTTCTTATAGAATCTCCATCTCTGGAGATATTTAACTTCCTTAGGCAATTTATTCCAGTGTTTAACCACCCTGAGAGTTGGGAAGGTTTTTCCTAGTGTCCAGCCTAAACCTCCCTTGCTGAATGCTCACAAAATCTCTGAATGTTTCAGAATAAACTACTATAGATAAGATTCCATATCCTATGTCTATTTGGAATTCATTGCTACCTAATGGATGTTTGATCTATTTGAATTTGGTTTTCTTCCCCAGTTGACTCAAATCAGCCTTCGGTGTCATGAAGTGTTGGGCTCCCAAATCCATTTTTAATTTTAGCTCTGATTTATAAACCCTTGGTAAAAAGGAATAAGGTTCGCTCCCAAATCAATTTTTAATTTTAGCTCTGATTTCTAAACCCTTGGTAAAAAGGAATAAGGTTTTGAATGGAAATGGAGACTGAACTTATTCTTTGACACCTATATATGGGCCTGCTTGTTAGATTGGAGGAACAGTGATGGAGTAAGGAAAAGCTTGTTACTTCTTGGTTTATCCCCAGAATAGGTACAACATGAAGAGTTAATTTCTAGGACTTCCAGTTGGTATCCTATGACAAAAACTATGTGAATGCACTTAGATAGACTTGATATTGTCTCACACATTCTTGATTATTTTTTGTCTGGGATAATATCCTCTGCTTGGCACCTATAAAATCTTTCTATGGGCATTTTTACTCCTAATTTTGTTGTCTTTCACACTAAGAAGACATATTAATTTAAAATTAACATGAATTCACTATTCTAAAGTCTTATAAGAGAGGCAAATCATGGGATTGCAGTTGAGTAAGGTTGTGGAGATGAGTGGATTCCTAGGAATTAAGAACGCTCTAGAGATAGGGCTGTCCTTTCTCTTGAAATTACTTGAGTTACAAGAAGGTTAATCTTAAAGCTGTCCTCAACCATGGGATTTTAATGTGATCCATACAAAACTGATACCTCCTTTTAAGTACCTAGAGGAGTTCAAATTTCTTTTGTTTTTGTGTGGCTACCTGTCAAGGTGGAATTCTGACACCACTTTGAAGATAAGAATGTATACCACATTATCTCTTTGGAATTTGGTATCAGGTGGATCCATTTCAAGATCCTGAAGCTGAAACTTGTTGAAACAAACACGGATGCATTTTACCTAGAAAAGAAGCAGTTGTTAAGCAGTAAAATTTCACTTGGAAAGCAAAACAACTCCCATACCAGTCTCAGAACTTTTCAGGAGCATATCTCGCTACTGGATTGATGTGAGCATATGAAAAATGCTATTTTCCTCTGACTAAAACAAGTATTTGGTCTGTGTGACCAATGGTTTCTGACATGCCATTCTCTAGCCACATGCACTTGGAAAAAAAAAATCTCAATTTAAAATTCATAAACTGATGTACAGGCGGTCCCTGGGTTACATGGATCCGACTTACATCGGATCCCTACTTACAAACGAGGTGAGGCAACCCCGCACTAGCTGCTTCCCCCCAGCAGACCAGGGAGATGCGAAGTTAGTGCCCTCCTCCCCAACAGATGAGGGAGACACAGAGCGGCTTTTCTCAGCAGACACCTCAGCTTGAGAATAAAGGACTGAGGGAAGTGAGGTGTGGGAGAATAAAACTGAGCTCTGGAGAAATGTTTGGCTAGAGTTTCCCCTACAATATGTACCAGTTCCGACTTACATACAAATTCAACTTAAGAACAAACCTACAGTCCCTATCTTGTACGTAACCCGGGGACTGCCTGTATTGTGTTCTGTATTTTTAACTCCTTGATACTAATAGTTGACTTCCTGAAAAGGGTGCTTGCACAAATAAAGGTCATTCAATATTGCTACCAATAGGGTCCAGTATCTTGCATTCAGTGTGGGGAGGTTTCTTCAGATAGGCTTTATAGTTTTCGAGGACCAATTTAGTCTCCATCAGGAATATCAAAGCCTGAAAGAGGGTACAGATAGCTAGGATTTGAAATCTATCTAATGGTTGTGCATTATGTAAATACACATGTGCTTTTCTGTTTTCTGCAGAGAAGCATTATAAAAAATAACCTTATGTTACGATGAGAAACAACATACTTTTCAGATTTAATTCTTCCAACCTATGTAAATGAGCTGGATTTGGAGCACAAGCTGCAGAACTGTACACTTGCACCATCTGGTGGCTCAAATACTTAATACAGTAACTCCTCACTTAACATTGTAGCTAACTTCCTAAAAAATGCTATTTTTAAATGAAACTGTTCAGCAAATTTAACTTCTCCATACAAATTAATGTAAATATGGGGTGGTAGTTTAGTTCCAGTGAAACTTTTTTCCAGCGGACAAAAAGCAGTGTATACACAAACCATATAAGGCTTAAGCAATTTGTTTAAAACCATTTAATATTGTACACCACAGTGATGACAAAAGCTCAGTTGAGGTGATGAAGTCAGAATGTGGAATATTTCCTGGGAATGTGTTCCTACTAAATGGTAACCTAGCACTCAGCTGTGTCCTGAAATTTTTAACACGTTAATGTAGCCTCATGACTCTACGAGGCAGCATGGACCAAGGCAGGAAACGCAGTAAACAAACAGGAGTGGCTGCAAACATTCGTTACAGAAACTGAACATAATGAACCTGCACTACTCTGCTGGAGCATACCACTCTCCTTCATACAGCACGCACAGTTGCAGACTTTCCAAAGTGCCTGGGATGTGTGTGTCTGACTCCATTTAGGAAGGAACAATCAGTTTCACACATACTGAATGAGAAGAGACTGTCTAGGAAGGAGTATGGCAGAAAGGGATATATGGGTCATAGTGAACCACAAGCTAAATGTGTCAACAATGTGACACTTGCCAAAAAAGCCAACGTGATTCTGAAATGTATTAACAGGAGTGTTGTGAGCAAGACACGAGAAGTCCTTCTTCCACTCTACACTGCACTGATTGAGCCTCAGTATCGTGTCCAGTTCTGGGTACCACATTTTCAAGAAAGATATGGAAAAATTGGAGAAAGTCCAGAGAGCACCAAAACTGATTAAAGGTCTAGAAAACCTGAGCTATGAGGGAAGACTGAAAGAATTGGGCTTGTTTTCGTTTAGAAAAGAGAAGACTGAGAGGGAACATAACAGTATTCAGCTATCTAAAAGAGCGTTACAAGGAGGGAGGGAAAAATTGTTCTCCTTGACCTCTGATGAGAACAATTAGAGACCATGGATTTCAGAAAGGCAGATTTTGGCAAGCACAGAGAGCTGGTAGGTAAAGTCCCATGGGAAGCAAGACTGAGGGGGGGAAAACCAACTGAAGAGATTGGGCAGTTTTTCAAAGGGACATTAAGGGCCCAAAAGCAAGCTATTCTGCTGAGTAGGCAAGATAGAAAATATGGCAAAAGACTGCCTTGGATCAACCAGGAGATCTTGCATGATCTAAAAATAAAAAAGGCGTCATAAAAAATGGAAACTAGGGCAAATTACAAAGGATGAATATAAGCACACAATACAGGAATGCAGGAGCAAGATTAGAAAGGCAAAGGCACAAAACAAGTTCAAACTAGCTACAGGCATAAAGGGAAACAAGACGACATTCTATAAGTATATTAGAAGCAAGAGAAAGACCAAGGACAGGGTAGGCTTGTTGCTCAGTGACGAGGAAATTTGGAAATGGCAGAGATGTTGAATTACTTTGTTTTGGTCTTCACCAAGAAATCTGAAGGAATGCCTGACATAGTGAATGCTAGTGGGAAGGGGATAGGTTTAGAAGCTAAAAGGAACAAGTTAAAATCACTTAGAAAAGTTCAATGTCTGGAAGTTACCAGGGCCTGATGAAATGCATCCTAGAATACTCAAGGAGCTGATAGAGGAGGTATCTGAGCCTTTAGCTATCATCTTTGGAAAATCATGGGAGACAGGAGAGATTCCAGAAGACTGGAAGAGGGCATCTATAAAAAGGGAAATAAAAACCCAGGAAACTACAGACCAGTCAGTTTAACTTCTGTGCCAGGAAAGATAATGGAGCAAGTAATTAAGGAAATCATCTGCAAACTGTTGGAAGATAATAAGGTGATAGGGAACAGCCAGCATGGATTTGTAAAGAACAAATCATGTCAAACCAATCTGATAGCTTTCTTTGATAGGATAACGAGTTTTGTGAATAAGGGAGAAGCAATCTCGCATGATATTCTTATTGATAAACTAGGCAAATACAGCTTAGATGGGGCTACTTATAAGGTGGGTGCATAACTGGCTGGATAACCGTTCCCAGAGAGTAGTTATTAATGGTTCACAATCCTGCTAGAAAGGAGTAACAAGTGGGGTTCCGCAGGAGTCTGTTTTGGGACTAGTTCTGTTCAATATCTTCACCAACTATTTAGATATCGGCATAGAGAGTGCGCTTATTAAGTTTGCAGATGATACCAAGCTTGGTGGGGTTGCAACTGCTTTGGAGAATAGGGTCATAATTCAAAATGATCTGGACAAATTGGAGAAATGGTCTGAGGTAAACAGGATAAAGTTTAATAAAGACAAATGCAAAGTGCTCCACTTAGGAAGGAACAATCAGTTTCTCACACACAGAATGGGAAGCGACTGTCTTGGAAGGAGTACGGCAGAAAGGGATCTAGGGGATATAGTGGACCACGAGCTAAAAATGAGTGAACAGTGTGACACTGTTACCAAAAAAGCCAACATGATTCTACTATGCATTAACAGGTGTGTTGTGAGAGCATTGGAAGTCATTCTTCCGCTCTATTCTGTGGTAAATTCTGTTAGACTGTGTAATAGTTTCCTAAGGGAAGCTGTGAAAGCCCAATATTTTGTATTATTTTAAAAAGACTGCCTCTTAAAAATATCCTTTAGGGGAAACAACTCAGGCTGATGAATGTGCTGTTTTATAAATAAAGCTATATATACACACACAAATTACAGACATAAAAGATGCATATGCTATTTTATAAATAGCTATATTTGCTTAATAAATTTGCTTTTATACTCTGAGTTGTGGTTTTCTTGCTTCTTCGAGGTTTTTCTGTGGTCTGGAGGTTTGTCCCAGCACAAATCACTTTCAAACAAATGATAAACAGATGAATCCAACTATCTAGTCCATGATCTTTAGAGCTATCCTTATGATCACACTTCCCTAAGTCCTGGGGCGAGGGAGCATGCAAAACCACCTCCTGCCCTGCCAGGAGCATATGGTGCTTTGAAGCACTGCTTGGTTGGTATTGGGGGGAGCAGAGCGCAGAAACCACGCTCCCCAGACACTAATTGGCCTAAGGGCAGGGAAGCAAGAGAAGTCTCCTCCCATACCAGCGACATAGGCACCTTTGGGGACCTTGGGGTGGGGACAAAAGCACTTTTCCCTCCCCCCCAGACCAATTATTGTCTGGGAGTGGGGAACCTGGAAATATATTGGCCCTGCCTCTTCCGCTCAATGCCCTGCCCCTTTCTGTGTGGCCTGGGGCCACTTCAAAAATTTTTGAAGTGGCCCCTGACAAAAAAATTATTGCCCACTCCTGATTTAGACAGTAATTAGTCCTGCTGTGAGGGCAGGGGATTGGACTTGATGACCTCTTGAGTTTCCTTCCAGTTCTAGTATTCCATGATTCTGTGATTCTGTAATCTCTGGTATAGTGAGGATTTTTTCCAAGACTGTCACTCCATTGCCAATACATTAAAACACAAACAAACAAAAAAGCTGTTTAACAGCTGCAGCTTTCTCTGCGGACTCCTGTTTTCAGTAAAACAGCAACTGACTATAACTATGTAGATACAGGTTGTACCTCCCTAAACTGGAACTCTCTGCTCTGGCAACATCTGTGGTCTGTCATGGACCACTGATGCTCCTGGACCAGACAGCCCAGGGTCAGGGAGGCCAGTGGTGGACAGGGGGCTCTAGCAATGTTGGGAGCACAGCACCAGAGGACTCAGGCAGTGCAGAGAATCCTGCGATGCATCTAGAAGCTCTGCAGTAGGGAGATTTGGTGGCGTAAGCAGTCCTGAGACAGGGGGGTTCGCCAGTGCGGGGAGATCCAGTGGTGCAGCCAGGAGTCCCAGGGGAAGGGCTTAGGCAGTGCAGGGAGTCCTGCAACACAGCTAGGAATCTTGTAGCAGAGGGTCTGGTGGTATAGGGAGCTCTGGTGGTTTGTACAGAGCTCGCAGCCAGGAGTCCCAGGGGAAGGAGCTGCTCCCTGTAGTGCTGTGCTACTTAGGGTTCTACCAGTAGCACATTGCTACACGGAACAGCTCTTACAAGACACAGCCGGGAGGGGTTGAGGGAGCCCTGTGGTGCCACTGGAGCCCTGCCGCAGGGGCACAGGTGGCATGGGGAGCACTGCTGCTGGGAGTCCCAGGGCTGAGGGCCCAACCAGGGCCGGCAGTGAGGGCTGGCTGGGGACCGAAGCAGGGCCGGTGACGGGACATTCCCTGGTCTGGAAAATTCTCTTGTTCAGGTCCCAAGAGTGCTGGACTATGGAAGTCTAATGTGTACTTGTGCTGATATACACAGTACCAAAACATCCCAAGAGTACTGGACTATGGAAGTCCAATGTGTACTTGTGCTGATATACACAGTACCAAAACAGACTGCTCCTCTAACACAGCACTTAGTAGAGATAATCTGAGAGCATATGTTTACTAGGCAGTGGAATAAGTTAAGTAAGTTTCCCCATCCGTTTTATTTCTTTATTGGATTTCCAGAGCTACTCACCTGATTAATAAACTGTTGATTCAATGCAGATACATGTGTATTTGTTTTTTAAATTGTCAGGAAGTCAGACTTGACTAATAGTTCAAATTAATAACGGAAAGATGCTTAAACAAAAGGATGATTTATTGTTTGAGCGCATAAGAGCTTAATCTGATTAAACATCCCTTGGTACTCGCCTCCTTGAAATACTAGAACTTTTTTATCTTATTGATGATTTTAAAATATTTTGATACCTTAACTTACTAAAATTTTAGTCTTGCATTTCAATTTTTCACCTCTTCAGATCTTTAAGAAAATGTTTAAGGTGTGTTATTTCCCAAAATTCATAGTTTATATATAAACAGTCTGAAGTATTCTACCTTTTGCTAATTGAAAATTGTATTGTAAAAATGTAATTATTATGCTAGATGTCAGTTATCCCTACTATTCTGGTTCACAGTGTTTCTATGTATGTTCTTCCTAACAGGGTATTGCTGGAACAGATGTAGCTAAAGAAGCTTCTGATATTATTCTCACCGATGATAACTTCACAAGCATTGTTAAAGCAGTTATGTGGGGAAGAAATGTTTACGACAGTATCTCCAAATTCCTTCAGTTCCAACTTACTGTTAATGTTGTAGCAGTAATTGTTGCTTTCACAGGAGCATGTATTACACAAGTAGGTACTTGTGGTATCTGGTTTCAGATAATTTAAGTTTTGAAAATGTGTCTTATCTAAATTAATTTTTACATACTGCTATCTTTTGGAAGTCACCATTTTGTGTGGGAAATTTATCTGGAAATTTCCACTACATGCATCTGACAAAGTGGGTCTTTGCCCACGAAAGCTTATGCTCCAATACATCTGTTAGTCTATAAGGTGCCACAGGACTCCTTGTTGCTTTTGCAGATTCAGACTAACACGGCTACCCCTCTGATACTTGACACCATTTTGTGTGCTGTCATAAAGAATACACTGCTCTTCAAAGCAATACACCAAATTTCCCCATAGCAAAGGTTTTTAATGGCTGCAACTTGTTCATTTCTAGGATATTTATTGTTATCTATTAGGAAACATGTCCTTTTTATAGGATTCTCCACTGAAAGCTGTGCAGATGTTGTGGGTAAATCTCATAATGGACACATTAGCATCTCTTGCTCTGGCAACAGAACCACCTACTGAATCTCTCTTGCTGCGGAAACCTTACGGTAGAAATAAACCTCTGATCTCTCGCACGATGATGAAAAATATTTTGGGTCATGCATTCTATCAACTTGTGGTAGTCTTTACACTTCTGTTTGCCGGTAAGAATATTGTAACTCTTATAAAGGTTTACTAATTTTCCAGAAGTTAAAACTAATTTATTATAACATTTCAGTTTTAATCATGTTATTCTTGACCTTAATATTTTGATTCTGATTATGTATTTGTTTGCTCATCATACTGAGAGAGTCTGTTTTATATACAGGTGAGAGAATTTTTGATATTGATAGTGGAAGAAATGCACCTCTGCATGCTCCTCCTTCAGAACATTACACTATTGTATTTAACACGTTTGTGATGATGCAACTCTTTAATGAAATCAATGCCCGGAAAATCCATGGTGAAAGAAATGTGTTTGAAGGAATCTTCAATAATGTTATCTTCTGTTCTATTGTTCTGGGCACGTTTATTGTGCAGGTAGGTAAATTGAAGTTTTTAGTTTAAATATTGTTAGTTATATTTAATTTGCTGCTGCTGCATCTACATTTAAAGATCCTATCAACATTTCCAGATACCTGAAGTTGGCACTACTTTGTGAATATGAGCAACTTTGTCAACAATGGAGGAAAAGTTGGTTCAAATAGGCTGTTGAAAATTGTAGTTGAAAATTTTGTTACAAAACCTAAAGGGGCCTAAAATATTGAACATTTCCCCATTATGGAAATTGGATCTTTTTTAAAATCTGACCTTGATAAGTTATGTATCTAAGAAGTCTCCCATGATCAGAACACTTGTGAAGTGCAGTATCTGTGTACATCTAATTAGTTGAGCTAAGAGCCACTAGCTGAAAAAGGGTTATCAAACATACTGTGTTGATGAGTTTCTACCTTGATAGAATGAGAATCATACCTACATCAGGTTGGAAATGTCAGCCTCACCAAATCAAATATTTGAATGTACTTCTGCCAGAAACTGCATAAATTGACTAATCTGAATGTATTTTTCCTTAACTTATTCTAAGTTTAATGACTACAAACATCTGGGGACCCTTTATTTTTTGTATATGGGACCTATTAAAATAACTAGTCAAATTGTACTGTCTGCTAATATTTTAAATATTTCAATTAACTTCCCAGGCCAAATAATTCTAGTATCTCTCACAGCAAAGGATGTTAGGCAGTTTCTGAAACCTGAGCCATTCTTTTTATGACATATGTGAGGAATTTTCCCAGACAGAGGTCATTAGAGGAGGTTTTGAAACAAATGTATAAACTAAACAATAGCAATTCACTAGGAGCAGATTGCATTCACCCAAGAGTTCTGAAAATTTAAAGGTGAAATTGTTGAACTAATAGCTATAGTTTGTAATGCATCCTCTAAAACAGCTTATCTACCAAATGACTAGAAAATAGCTAATGTAATGCCAATTTTTAAAAGGGCTCTAGAGGTGATCCTGGCAATTACAGCCAGTAAGTGTAACTGTAGTACCGGACAAATTGGCTGAAATTATAGTTAATAACAGAATTATCAGACACAAACGGACATAACTTGTTGAGGGGAAGAGTTAGCATGGTTTCTGTAAAGAGAAATCATGCCTCGCTAATCTACTAGAATTTTTTTGAGTGGCTCTACAAGCATGTGGGCAAGATGAATCCAGTAGATATAGTGTACTTAGATTTCCAGAAAACCTTTCACAAAAGGCTCAGAAGTGAAGTAAGCTGTAATGGATTTAAGAGGAAGGTCCTCTCATGGATTGATAATTGGTTAAAAGATAGGAAACAAAAGGTAGGAACAAAAGTTCTGTTCTCAGAATGGAGAGTGGCAACTAAGTGGTAGCCCTGGGGGATCTGTACTGGAACCAAGCCTGTTAATTTATGAATATGTTGATCTGGAAAATGGAGTAAACAGTAAGCTGGCAGAATTTGCAGATAATCTGCTCAAGTTAGTAAATCCAAAACTGATGATGAAGAGCTTAAAAAAAAAAAATCAGCGAGGTGACTAGGTAGTAACGTGGCAGACTAATTTTAATGTTGTTAAACACAAAGTAATGCTTCAAGTGATTGCTTATGTGCATTCCAGTGTAGGTGTGTGCGTGTCACATGCACAGTTGTCAGGAAGATTTCTTCCCCCCCCTTGCTGGATACTGTAAGCTGGCAGGGGAGACCCCTGGAATGACAGCATTATGGCTAGATACATAGCACTCTGCCAACCGTTCCCTCCCTCAGTTCCTTCTTACCGCCAGCGATGGTTGTCGGCGCTAGTGTCTCTTGCCTCAGGCAAGCGTGCTTTCCCTAGTTTCTCTTTGTAGTTTTTCTAAAGTATTAAGTTTGATCTGGGAACTCCATTTTTGTTGCCCCAGCCCCCAAGCTGGGAAGCCTCAGCTCCCTGTCTTCAAGCAGTGTAGACTATGCTTGAAGTTTATGGCTATGGGCAATCCGCACAAATCCTGCTTAAGTGTTTGGGAGTGACCCACTTAGCAGATGACAAGTGTAAGATTTGTAGGGCCTATATATCAAGAACTAAAAGGGACAGTATTTTGTCTCCTAAATCTGTTAATGGAGGCATCCTTGGCATCCCATCCGGCGCCGCAAGACTGGAATTGGCACTCTCAGTGCATAGTGCACCCTCGCCAGTGCAGAGCGTACTGCTCCAAGAAAGGAGTTGAACAAGACACCCCAGCACCATTGTTCACCGAAGCCTATCTCTTGGCATTGATCCCATTCTCTGGTGCAGAAGAAGAAAGAGGCAGGAAAGGGGATAGAGACTTTAAAGGGTTGCATCCTGAGTTGAGCACCCTTTGAAACAGCCTGCCCATATGGTGCAGTTAATTGACACCTCTGCCAGTCCTGTCGAGTCCAGTGCGAGTGGACTCACCATCCCCGTAGAGCCAGATGGGAGATGTGGACATGCCATCCACTCCTGAAACATATCAGGTGGCCCAGGACCTGATTGAACTAACTTCTGACTGGTCAGTTACCCCTGTGAGTCTCTCTCGATTCCGCAGCATCCAGTGTTAAAAAGGTGCCTCTTGCCACGATCATTAACCTTGGTACCGATCTGGTGAGAACTCCCGTACCAGGTGGAGTCCTCCTGGGTGGCACTGGTCGATCAGTGGGGATGGTTCCCTTTTGGCCTGGGTCCTGCGAGGGCTCCCATTTTAAAAAAGAGTCCTCTTGGTGACCTCACACGATGCAAAGGCTACTGATGTGGTGCAGTACTGCTCCTCTATGGTCCCCACGTTCCACATCCATATCTGAACTGGAGCTAGAGGGTCACCGAGTCCAGGAGGCGGTCCTGTTCAGCACAGGTCCCTCTGGAGAGGAGACAGGATTTGACCCTACAATGGGCTCTTCAGTGGCAGGTCCCACTTTAGTGGCCATTCTGGCCAGACACAAGCTGGGGCCAGACAAGTTGGGGGTTCCAGGTCAGCCTCCATCACTTTTATCAGTAGGTGAACTCCCTCAGTGGCCCTAGATAAAGACCCTGCTGTAGGGGCACAGCTGTCTCAAACTACATCAGGGTCGCAGATACCTGCTAAGCAGCTTTTTGGAGTTTCAGGGGATCAGTGGCACCAGGTTCCAGGGGTGTCTTTGCACCCAGTGCTGCCTGCTTCACAGCACTCCAGTGCTGATGACCAAGTGCATGTGCCTCTGGTACCAGAGGTGGAACAGGAAGAAGGGGAGCTGGTTCCAGTTGTCACCTGAGGCAGTAGCTGGGCTGGTGATGCACCCTATTGCCCATAGGGGACAGCAACAACAGGAGCTCTTGATGTGTATGGCCCAGAGTATAGGTCTCAAAATAGAGGAGGTGGTAGGGGATGCAGAGCCTATGGTTAATACTTTGTCTTCAGGACGGGGACCATATAGGCTTGTTCTCCCCTTTTATCAAGACTATCTCCTCTGGCAGACCCCTGCTTCCATTCCCCTGACCGCTAAAGGGGTGGAGTGATGCTACTTGTATATGCGCCCACAACCCAACACACTGGTGGCGGATGCAGCTAATGCTAAGGAATGCCAGAGTCATCCGGGCCCAAGTCCAAAGAACTAAGAGGCTGGACCTGTTGGGGAAGAAAGTGTTCTCAGTAAGTTGCCTTCACTTGAAGGTGGTTAGCCAATAGGTGGTATTGGCCTGCTACAATTTTAATACATGGGCGTCTGAGTTCACAGCCCTCAGAGGAAGGAAGGGTAATTTCCCATAGCTTCCTTCAGGCATCTCTGGATGCTGTTGACTCTATGGTCAGATCTGTGTCAACAGGCATAGTTATGAAGTGTAAGTCTTGGTTCCAGGTGTCTGGGATCCCTCCAGAAATCCAGATGATACAGGATCTTTCTTTTTATGGTTCCGGCTTGTTTGCAGAGCAAGTGGATTCCAGGCTGCATAGTGTGACGGATGCAAGGGCTACACTAAAGTCCTTGGCCTGCCACACACTTATACTGCAGACTGGTGATCTCCCACCCCTTTGCTGGATAACTGCTTGGGAATCACCTAAATTGGAATGCTCATGAGCAATCACTCAAAGAAAAGACTTACTTTTTGTAAATGGTGTTCTTTGAGATGTTGCTCATGTCCATTCCAATACCCCCTATCTCTCCCATGTTGGAGTCATTTCCAGCAAGGAGGAATTAAGGAAGGGAACGGATGACAGGGTACTATGTACCTAGCCATACTGGCATCACTCTAGGGGTCTCCCATGCTGACCTACGGTATCCAACTAGAGAAAATCTTCCTGGCAGCTGTGAATGTCGCGCACACACTTAAATTGGAATGCACGTGAACAATGCATTTCAAAGAACACCAGTTATGAAAGGTAACGGTCTTGTATTGAAAAACATAATCTGATGAGGCGTATAAAATGGGGACTAAATGAACTATTACCACTTGAGAGAGAGCTTGGTATCATTGTGAATAGTTCTTCAAAAACATCCACTCTGTGAAGCAGCAGTCAAAGCAAACAGAATATTAGGAATAATTAAAGGTATAGAAAGTAAGACAGAAAATATCTTAATGTTCACATCTTGAATACTGCTTGCAGATTTGAACTGATCAGATGGCTTCTAATTTATTAACCGAAGTCTCTTTCCTTGTACATAAATGCCAACAATATATTTGGTAGGTTCTCATACAGTACAAGAATTTGAAAATAGTAACTCTTTAAGCAGAGCAGAGTGCTTAAAAGCAGTAAAATAGCTATCTTTATAACTGAATATCTCTGCCTCTCTTCCCCAACCAGAAAATAGGATTAGTACTGTCGCTCGTCCTTTTTTTTTTTTTTTTTGGGGGGGGGGGTGTTGTCAAGGTGCAGAATGCTGTTTTTTAATATATGTATGTACAACGTCTCGCACACAGTGCTCCCCTTGGGGGATTACCTAATACAAAGGACAGACAAATCAAGAGTACAGGGTTAATTTTAAAGTAACAAGGTTTTTTAAAGCCTAAAATACAATGTGAAGATTTAGAGAGAAAGATGCAGCATTTGGGATAACTTAAAACGATATACAAATTGAGTGCTACCAAGCTGTAATGTGCATACACTAGATACTAATTTTTAATTTTGATATATCTGTTTTGCTAAAGTCTCTCTGAATTTTGACAGTTAAAGCATACAGATGTGAATGCTTATAGCAGCAGCATATATTTGGCTGCTCTCACCAAACAATCCACGCATAATTACTACAATGAAGGGACTTGCCCACTGCTCGCTATGCTCACCAACCCCTTCCCCATCTCTGACTGCTTTCTCAGCCAGAGAGCATGATAATGCCCACCAGGAAAAACTTTTTTTATATTTATAAAGAGATTTATACTTGACCTTAATTTCTGGCTTATGATTTCAGAATTTCACTTTTGCTCATATTATAGTTCCTAATCCATTGTTCTTTGGTTTTTATACTTGCTGCTAAGCTTGAAATGGATGTGCAGAAATGCTGTTTGAAGTGTGCTGTGTAAATTACTATTTCTGACAATATTTAAAATAGGAAAATGCTGCTACCATGATGTCTAGTTCGTGGAGGGAAGTCCACTTCATAACAGTATTTTTTTTTTATACAAAGCAGAGTTGTACCCTTAGGTTAGGTGCTGCACATCTGTATTTTGTTTAACAGGGGAAAAAACAGTAATTGTAAACATCTTAGTTTCTCTAAAATCTACTGCCCTTCAGGCTGTTTTTCTAAAGGTGGGCATAAAGAAAAATATCTTAAATTTCTTCAGTTTAAAAAGATATAATGAACGGATTCAATTATCACTACAAGCAGGCCTGACTTGTGAAGTACAATGTAAGCATAGGGGGGAAACTTTTCTGTATCTGTGCTCAGGTACAAAATAAAGTTTTGAAGATGGTGTGGGAGAAGTAAAAGGGATCAAAATACTTGAGTGACAAACTAAAGCTAATATATTATGTAACCAGCTGGTTACATTTGAAGTACCAAGTAGCTAAAACTCACAGTACCTACTACTTACGTTCACTGACACCCTTCAATAACTATTACTTTCTCCAACGCTTTCCATAGGTAATTATTGTACAGTTTGGTGGGAAACCTTTCAGTTGTTCGAAGCTTACAGTAGAACAATGGCTATGGTCCGTTTTCCTGGGAATGGGAACGCTACTCTGGGGCCAGGTAAAGCAACTTTTTTGTGTGTACAAATTAACACATCACGAGTTACATAATTTGGGGGTTTTTTTTTTGGGGGGGGGGCACATGCCAGAATTGTGGTGGTGTCCAAAAGACTTTACGCATGTTTCAAAATTTTAAGGGGGGGAGGGGGTGGCTGTGCATGGGATTAGCAGATACCTGATTTTTTTTGCCAATGAGAATGTTTAGTGAAAATTAAAATTGATAGAGTATGGCTTCATTTTAATTCTTTACTTGAGCATTCTATTCAAGGTAGTATAGGTGTGCTAGTCACATTCCTGAGCAAGGGTTACCATTCACAAATAAAAAAAAATTATTTGAAATTTAAAGCTGATCCTAGTTTGCTCCTAAATAAAATGTTTAGGCTAATTTGGCTTATAAAGATGCCATGAATAATTGCTGTAGTGTCAGAAACCATAATTACTATTAAGAAAATGAAACTAGGAATTTCATCAGACTGGGTTAGCTTATAGCCAGACTTTGCTTTTTTAAAAATTAAAAAAAGTATATCTCTTCCAGTAAAATACATTTTGAATCCCTTGTAGTTAAAAATATATTGAGTTATTTAAGAACAGTGATGAATTTCAACTGTGTATGATAAAATAAATAAAAATATTAAACAATCCTGTTGAATTTCCAAATACTTGGCTATCATGTTCACAATTCTACATAAGTTTAAAATGTTATAATTTAACTGATATGCATCAGAACTTAGAGGCAACTGGTATGTAAATGGAGGTCCATAATTACATACCAGTGGACCTTTCCCATTTTAAAATGGCCTTAGTTTCTATACAGTACAAAATCTCTCCAGGAAATTTGACCTCTAAGATTCTGTAAACTTGTATTCAATCTGTGTATCCTGGTAAGATGAAAGAATGAATTCATCCTGCTGGGATTTGAACCTTAGATTCCTGGTGGGGGGGTCTAGATGCCATCTAGTTTCTAAGTGCTCACGGAAACTTCAGCCTCTAACTCTCCTTATCCTGTAGTAAGTAATCCTCTTGGGGAAAAGTTAATCATCCTTGTACTTCCCAGGATTTCTGTTTGTTCCTTCCTCTCTAGTTGAAGGATCGGGGTGGTAAATTTGCTGCTTCAGAGTTGTATAGCAGCAGTGAAACTGACTAGACTTAGATTTTGCAGCAGCAGTTAAATTAAGTAACTATAAATGGTCCAGCCTGTCTACCATCATGATGAATGAAACTTCATATGAATAAAAAGATAACTTCAACAAACAGTGTGCACACTTCACATGAAATTTTGGCCATTATATTCTTTAAATCGGTGGGGGGAGGTAACAGGGCCTCCAGGCCAGTTGTGGCCACTGAATGACTATTTTAAGGCCCAAAATTATATTTGATTACAAATTTAAAATGTTCTCTGGATGTGCCTTGAAGCTTGAATCATAAAACCCTCCCCTTCCTTATGTCGGGATCCCACCTTTCTATCCCCAACCGCAAGGGTGCGCCATTTCAAATTTTGTTGGGGGAGGGTGACCTGTGCATGCTATGATGGGAAAAGGAAGAGTGAGAGAACTGGGGAGGGAGGGAAGGGGGCAAACGGAGGGCAGCAGCTTCAGCAGTGCTACTGAGCATGCTCAATACAAGCCAAGCCACACATTCGGAGTGACTAACCCCTTCTATCTTCACCCTTCTCTCCCCCCAGATATACCACCTCTTTCCAGGGGCTACTGAGACATTGGAAATTTTTTTTTTGGGGGGGGGGGGCAGATAATTTAGTAGTTAGCTCACAGGAGCAGTGTATTTAATTCTAACTCCTTAACTCTATAGAAAAAGTTAAAAGCATAAAATTACCTAAATGTAATTTTACAGTTGTCATAGTAAAAAGAGTCCAATAATAGTTAGAAAAATAGCTGCCAAATGATGGTGTTCATATAGTTTACTAGAACATTTGAAACAATTTGCCAGTAATATGTAGGAAGTTCTTCCTTGCAAGTGAGGTCCAGGAAGTTTAGATTACACTGTTAGAAAAAATATTTCAAGCCTTTCTTCATTACTGACTCTTTAGGGAGAGAGAGATAGTCCAGAAGTCCTGAGAGCATCTCTCAACTATGGGAGGGGAATGGAATTTAGTGGGCTACACCAAGGGGCAGATACATCTGGGCTCTATTTAAGCACATCAGAATGACCATACTGAGTCAGTCCAATGGGCAATTTAGCCCACTATCCTGACTTCCAACAATGATAAATGCTAGGTATGCTTCAGAAGGTGTGAACAGAAGAGGCAATCATCAAATTATCCATCCCCTGTTACTCATTCCCAGCTTCTGGCAAAGAGAAGCTAGGAACACCATCTCTGCATATTCTGGCTAGTGGCCACTGATGAACCTATCCTCCTTGAACTTACTTTATCCTCATTGCAGCCCTGTTATGGTTTGGACCTTTCCACCATTCCCTTGGCAAAGAATTAGCTGGACAGTGAGCATAACTAGGGCAAACCATTCTGGTCATTTTCTTTCCTGGCTTTTATATCTCATCTGCTGGCTCTACATCAGTGTTCAGAGAATACTTGGCAGGGATCTTATTCGTACCCTTTTGCAGAACCTGAACAATGGAAGAAGAGTAGAAAGGCATGGAGAATCTCTCAAAGTATTGATAGAAGGCCTTTGACTTCTGAAAAGCTTGCCACTTACCCTGAAGTGGTTGGCTCCCAGTACTTTTAAATGAAACCAAGTCTTGGATCCCAATACTAAAGGAAAAACTTCCTACATATTGCTGGCAGATTACTTATTCAGGTAGCTTACTAGCACATTTGAAACAACACAACTTGGCAGCTGTTTTATAACTTTATTATTTGACTCTTTTACTATAAATGACAACTGTAAAATTACATTTAGGCCATCTTATGCTTTTAACTTGTTCTATAGTGTTGGGGAAGAGCTTTAGAATTTCACTAGCCTGAGTTCAGCTGCACACCTTTGAAATGAGGTAGTAGCAGGATGATTTCTCAGACTTACTGTAGCTGTTACTTGGAGTATATTGAGCAATACTGAGTGAATAGGGTATCAGAACAATCGCTTTACACTGAAAGTTTTTTCCTAAAGCAGGAAGATTCATTTAATTTTAAAGTTATTTTGTGGAATATTATAGGTTGAAGGAAACTGGCAAATATTTGTATGTTCCATGATTAAACTACATTTTAAAACCTAGACCTTGTTACCCTATTTCTTTCTGCAAATTCTCTACATCTTTTCCTTCGTCTCTAGCTGATCTCAACAATTCCAACCAGCCGTTTGAAATTCCTTAAAGAAGCTGGGCATGGAACACAGAAGGAGGAGATTCCTGAAGAAGAGTTAGCAGAAGATGTGGAAGAGATTGATCATGCTGAAAGAGAATTGCGTCGTGGTCAGATCTTGTGGTTTAGGGGCCTGAACAGGATACAAACTCAGGTATGGTCTTGGAAAAGGTAGGAGGAAACAGTGGTGGTCAAGGGTTTTAATTAAATCTTCCCCTCTATCCTAATAAAATGACAATTTTATACTGTGTGACTGAGATTTTTCTCAAGATGGGGGTATGGATGGCTCTGTAATCCCTCAAGATCCTTCTTCAGCTCTAAATGCAACTCTTGCCTGCGTATCCCTCTATAAAAAGTGCCTTTTTTCTTTACTTATGTGTTATAGATGGGATGGTCCTTTCTCTTGTTTTCTCTCTCTCTCTTGCTGAGCAAGCTGTCACAATCTCTGATTCCTTGCAGATGGATGTAGTGAATGCTTTCCAGAGTGGAAGTACCATTCAGGGGGCTCTAAGGCGACAACCTTCCATCGCCAGCCAGCATCATGATGTAACAAATATTTCTACCCCTACACATGTAGTGTTTTCCTCTACTACTGCTTCTACTACTGTGGGGTGTGAGTGTGTGTTCCTAAAAGTGCATGAAATTAACATTTCCTAATTCACACACCTAACGTTTCTCATTTTCTCCTTAGTGTTTAAATTCATCGTTCAGGCTTTCCATAAAGCTTTCTTTCCACAAAGTGGAGTCCTCAAGATTTTTTTCTTAGAGGGCTAGAAAACAGGTGGAACAGTTGCAACAAAAGACTTAAACATGAAAGCTGTGAGCCTGTATGTACTGTGCCTTCATTCATTCATGTTCAGAGGGACTTTTACAAATTGAAAGGAAAACTGTTGTAAATTTTCGAGTATATGCCTCTGCTGACTTATTTTATAAAAATTGTTCATAGTTTATTCTATGCAGCATATAATATTAAACTGGTCCAACAAAAGTAGGTAATAGAAATTTGAAAATAAACCATAATCTAAAATAACACAGTTAAAAATATAAAATATATGTACACTTTTCAACACTTTCTCTGGCAAAATATGCAGATTCACATTATTTAAATTTTAAATTTACAAAGTTTAAAACATAGACAAGATAAATGAAAAGGAAAAAAGCTCTAAAAGCTTGCTTCATACAGTAATGCTTCATAGACCGAATCTTGCTTTTTGTTGGACTTGTTCTTAACCAGATGGTAAGATTTTTTTTTTTTATTTTTTTTTTTAACATCAGGTGCAGGTTGATAAAATAGGCTTCTTCCAAATAGCTAAAATAATAGTAAATTTAACTATACAAAAAATTACAAGCATTCAGCCATTCAATGAGGAGCATTGATTGGTAAGAACATTAAGGTGTTGGACTAGTAAAACACTTATTTCATTCAAACTGGATAACTTTCTTTCTAGGTTCATTTGGCACAGTACATAAACCTTGATGCAAGTGATGTTTTATCAGTTACTTAACTGTATTCTTTACATTGTTTTCTAAACTAAGTGGCATTTGAGTTTTTCAACCTCTGTGTTAAGAAGTATAATAGTTCTTTCTAAAACCAATATTTAGCTTCAATTGAGATTGAGGATGTAATATATGAAACAAAGTGTAAGTTTTCATTACATTTAGTATATTCATTCCATAACAAGTGTCTTATTTAAATAAATGTAAAAATTAGTTTCCATCCTATTATACAAGTATCAAACATTTTAAGCAAGATTTTTATCTACTAACATTCTCATAGTTGGTTGACTGACTGACAAATACGAGTTTTCAGGCTACTTAAGAACTTTCATGTTGCTGGGTTAAGTAAAATGTGCAGAGACATTTAAAGCTTGCAGGAGTTTTCTTATTTAAAAAGTACAGTCCTCTGGGCTCTGTTTCAGATTCAGATTTCCTGAATGTGCTTGAGCAGGTCACTTGATTCTCTACCTGTTTTTCCATTCTGTAAAATGAAGATCCTTCCCTACCTCTTAGGCTTAATGTTGCAAGGCTTGATTCATTTATGTTTGTAAAGTACTTGGAATCTGTATTTTGGCACTTTTCATTTAAAAAGTATGTTCTGTTTGTGGGAATAAGATTGTTCAGTACAGCACTAGATTTTAAAATGGTTTCTTTGCATATACGGGAAGTAACTTTTAGGTTATATTTGACCTGTTAGAGCCTTAGACAAGTGGTAGTACAGAATCACATGACCCTCAGGTGAGCAGCAGGAAGCATTTTGCTCTCCTGACGTGAAGAAAGGATGAATTTGCAACACTACTTTAGGGAGTGCATCATACTTCCCCCTGTTCTGGCACCCGGCTTTGAAAGCCAGTATCTCAAGGTAGAGAGAGCCATGCCTCCTCCCTGGCGATTATGGATCAAACTGGTAAAAACTAGTAAAGAACAGTTATCAGACACCTAGGGTATGTCTACACTGCAACTCTATTTAGAAATAACTAATGCTATTCCGAAATAACTTAGTCTGCGTCTACGCAGCAGGCAGTTATTTCAAAATACTGTCAAGCTGGAGGACTTATTCCTCATACAATGAGGGTTACAGGAATTGGAGTAAGAAGGGAAGTCAGAGGAAGAGTACTTTATTTCTAAATAAGTGCTGTGTAGACGTTCCCTATTTCAAAATAAGCTATTTTGAAATAAGCTACGCAATTGACATAGCTCAATTAGCGTAGCTTACTTTGAGTTAAGCCCTGCAATGTAGACCCCTAGACAAATAAAGTGTTAGTCATTATGGCTTTTGCAAAGAGATCTTGCCTCATCAATTCATATGAAGTCTGCTGCAGTTTTCAACAAGCATGTGAACATGGAGTAATCCAGTGGATATAATGGACTTGAGCTTTCAGACTTTGGCAGGGTCCCTTACCAAAGGCTCATAAGTAATCGTGAGCTGAAAGGGAAGGTCCCCTCATGGATCATAATTTGGTGTAAAGACAGGATACAAAAGTAGGTATAATGGTGAGTTTTAAGTCTTCCAATGATCTGTACTGGGAACAGTGCAGTTCAATATACTCATGAACGATCTGGAAACAGGTAAATAGTGAGGTGTCAAAATTTGCAGATAATACTAAATTATTTAAGCTTGCTCCAAAGCATACTGAAGAATTACAAAGAAATTTCACAAAACTGGGTGATTGGGCAACAAAATGACAGATGAAATCCAATGTTGATAGATAAAGTAATGTGCATGGAAAAAATATAATCCCAACAATGCAGATAAAAGGGTGGGATTTAAATTGTTACCACTCAAAGATCTTAGACTCATGGATAGTTCTCTGAAAATATCTTCTCAATATGCAGCAGCAGTCAAAAAGTTAATGTTAGGAATCAATAAGAAAGGGATAGATATCAAAACAGTAAATATCGAATGCCACTAGGTAAGTCCATTGAATATATGCATCTGGAATTTGGATGATGTTCTGGTTGCCCCACCTCAAAAAGGATATTAGATTTGGGAAAATAGAGGGCAACAAATTATTATGAGTATGGAAAAGCTTTTATAGAGGAGACAGTTCTCTGTCTCTTTAAGAAGAGACAACTGAGGATCTAAAATTGTAACCGGTGTGGAGAAAGAATGAGGAGTTATTTACAATGAACACATTTCAAAGGGATAACTGAGGTGCCACAGGATTACTTGTTTTTGCTGAAACCAAACAAAGGAATAACATATACTTCAGCATAAGCGCTTTTGTTGGCTGGAACTTAATTCCATCCCATGAAAACTTACATCAAAATAAATTTGTTAGTCTTCAGGGTGCCACAGGACTTGCCATTTTTAATAATTAACAAGAACCAGGAGTGTGATAACAATTAACGGGTAGCAGGCTGAAAATAAACATAAGCACTACTTCACATAATGCACAGTCTGTGTGGAACTCTCAGGGGATGTTGTGAAGACCAGAAATAAAACTGGGTCCTGGATGAGGGATTTTTCTGGACTGGTAAGGTCAGTTCTGGCTTCCCTGCTGCTGACTCCCCTGCTTGGCGCCCCAGCATTCCCCAGAGCCCTGCTGAGCTGTTTGCTGGCTTGCACACCCCTCCTCCTGAAGCCCAGCTAAGCCATGCATCATCCTCCCCTGCATAGTACTGTGCTCCCGACCTGTTGCAGCACACTGGAACACTCTGATCCTAGAACATCCGTTCCTTCTAGACCGTGGATGTTGCCAGACCAGAGAGTTCTGGTTTACAGAGGTGCAACCTGTATAAAGATTTGTCACTTTTGAGAGTAACTAAGATGCTGATGCAATTCTGAATTGTACAGTCATCCCTGGATTTTTGAAGTCTTTTGTAGCAATATGAAATGATTTACCACACACCAGTATTCAAAATGGAGGATCTCAAACTTTTTCATATGGGCCACATCATAGTGCTGTCCTGGAAACTTATCTCTCCTCCCCCATAAGATACTGTAACCTCTTTATAGCAACTATGGCATTATTTACGTTTAAAAACCCTAAAACTACTTTTCAATGTGTTTTATCAACCGGAAATGAGGGTGAGTTAGTACCATGTGACCAGCAAGTGCTCCTTGAACTATTGGAGATTTGTACGCCAACTGTTGGTCTTGATCAGAGGTTCTCAAACTGTGAAGTAAGAAGTACTGTTAAAGAGAACTGGTTCTACTTTCAGATTTCATTAACTGTATTACTCTTAACTCTTCAGTTACTTAAAACTGAATGTACTATTCACTCAGCTCAGATGGCTGGTCTAATTTAATGCATTGATGCATAGTATGTTTACCAAAAAAAAAAACCCCAAAACAAAAACCTTTGAGCTACTTGGGCCACAGGACTCTTAATTTTGAATTTCCTTTTAAAATTTGATGCATTCTTAATGTGGCTGAAATGTGTGTAGCAGATAAGCAAAAATGAAGCTGTATTGAAGCCTAACTTGTCTAGGTCTAATTGGTAAAAGTTTTCTGCTGAATGAGTGCAGAGGTTGCTTATGCAACATGCTGTGGATTGGTTTGTGCTGATGAAATTTCTGGATTTTTCCCCCTTTATGGGTCAATCCAGAAAAGCTTTAACAAAGCTTTTGGGAGCTGCAGCAAATTCTTCCCTTAATATGTTGCACCTGAGAGAGGTGCACGATGGTTGCCAATTCATTTTTTTCTATGTTGAACTTATTGGAGTCCTTTCTTCTGCAGAGCTATAATTGACTCTTCTTCTCCCGTAAGATTGTGTTTTCTTTTCCACCTTAATAGGACCACATCACAGCTTAAAATTCATGTTGGTTCATAAATTCTGTGGTATCTTACAACCATAGCATATCTTCATGTGAGGTGCCCTTACATGTCCCAAACACTTCATTTTAAGTCAGCTGTTAGGAACAAAGTCTTTATCTGGTGAAACTAGTGTAAGGACCTCAACCCTTTAACTGGGTAACACTAAGACTTTTCTGTTTATATACACACACACACACACACACACACACACACACACACACACACACAAACTTTATTGATGGAAGCATTTGAAGCTCTAGAAATCTTTCGATGCAGTAGTGCCAAAATGTACTTGTGTGTATCTCTGCACCAAAAAGCAAAGAACTGACCTCTTAACTGAAGGCAGACATGGGTCATATGTATATATTGAAAAATTGTTGTAGTTATCTAGTAACAGCTTACATGTTGGTTGGTTGCTTTGTAGATTTTTGTCATCTGAAATGCGCACTTGTGTATATAATTATCTAGTAACAGCTTACTTGTTGGTTGGTTGCTTTGTAGATTTGTCATCTGAAATGCGCACTTGTGTATATAAAGGTGATTACTTAAATCTTACAATACTGGTGTTCATACTGAAATGTGCAGCCAATTCCAGTGCTTACATCTTAGAATTTTTTGAGACCGTATATGGAAAATGTTAATATCTGCCACTTAGATTGTGTGAACACATTTAATGCTTAACTTTTTCACCTTTTGAAAGGCATCGGGAAAGTTTAGTTTTGTACATAAAGGAAAACAATTGCAAAATGTAACTTACTACGACTTAACAAATCGGGGCATGAAACATATTACTTACTATGGAAAAATGTATTTTGTTGTTGTAAATAGGTATATACTCGAATATTTACAGCTGTTGTAGAAGTATCTTTTTGCATGAGCCCTGCTAGTAAATGTCCAATCATTGTGACATTTGGCGAACACTTGCTTGGCTTTTTCATAGTCAGTGACATCCTAATTCCTAGCATGAGAAATAGTACCCTGTGTGCCCCAACTCTTTTTTTAGTCCTTTCCCTTTGGTGTTGAATAAAACATTCCTTAGTAAAACTTGTTGAATTTGTAAATAAGTACATTGAATACATATTGACTTCATGTTTTGAAAACATTTAGCCCATGTCAAGCAGTGAAATAATTCTAGCACTACTTTGAATTTTTAGACATTTCAGTTTTTTACAGTACACTTCTACAATTTTTATTCCAACTGTAGTTTGGCAGTGCTCTACTGAAATGCTCTTCATTTTTTACAGTTTATTGCAAGTTCCACCACATTACATATAAATTCGATTCACTCATGTTTAGCTGTTTGTGGATTCAGATTCATAAGAACCATATTCACTACTAGTAAATCTGCAGCATACTAACAGATTTTTGTATTTCTTTCATGTTTACAGATCCGAGTGGTGAATGCATTTCGTAGTTCCTTATATGAAGGATTAGAAAAACCTGAGACACGAAGTTCGATTCACAATTTTATGACACATCCTGAGTTTAGAATAGAAGATTCTGAGCCTCATATTCCACTTATTGATGATACTGATGCTGAAGACGATGCTCCAACAAAACGCAACTCTACTCCTCCCCCTTCTCCCAACAAAAATAACAATGCGGTTGACAGTGGAATTCACCTTACAACAGACATGAACAAGTCTGCTACCTCTTCATCCCCAGGGAGCCCACTACATAGTTTGGAAACATCACTCTGATTGTAAGCTGAATGTTACACACTAGCTGCATTGTAAAGAAACAAATTGAAACTGGGTCTTTTCACACAATTGTGACGGACAAGATAGTAGTCTTGTCCTGGACTTCAACAGAAGACACTTGTACGAATGTAGATTTATTTTTTTAAAAGCTTTCTGCCAGACTTGAGGGTGCTTCTTGAGGGTGGGGGTAATAATGAACTCTGACAGATAAACAGTAACTCAGCGTAAGTGACCTGCGGATCATCAGTTGTACTTAATGGTCCTGAACAGTGTATTGGAACTTCAGTTTATCTTGATCCTTTTGAGGGGAGGGCTGGTAAGGGCAAAGAAGCCCTGGATCATTGAGTTTATACTTTAATTTCTGCTGTTGGCTGTTAATAATTTGGATTATTTATGTTAAATGATACAGATCTGTTTACAAGGTTTGTAGATACTTTTTTGTTCCTGTTCATAGATGGGAAGCTTCCTTATAAATGATGCAGAGAAAAGAGATTAGTCCTTCAAATACTGCTGTATTTTCAGGAAAAGGGTGTTTCTATTGAAACTGTACTAAATTTTGCCTGCAATTTACTTTGTTAAATATTGTAGATAAATTGCTAATACTAATAGCCAAATAGATAACACTAATGCTTTGTAAAAACCTGAGCAGTGGTGTTCTAATGAAGTTATGGCCTCTGTCCTAATTAGTTTCTTAAATACATTTACTACTTAATGGTTTTGAAACAACTGTTTAATTTTTAAAAATTTTGAGAAACTTACTGACTAACTTTTGCTCAGAATTTAGTAGAGGATTGTTTAAATGCAGGACATCAATATGTGATGGAACTTGCTTGAAATACTTTTGTTATCTCAGGCAAAATGGATTAAATCAAAATACATCATAACCTTAGTCCTTTCTGTTTTTGTCTAAACATGTTAGCGTAGTGCTGTCTTGGTGAATTGTGAGTGGAACTGTTGATTCCTCCTCCCTCCCTCCCCCCTCAAAAAAAAATCTATAGAATCCTTCATACAGCATGAGGGCTGTTGGCATTTTGAAAGGTTGTTGGTAGGTAGCATACTTGTTTTCCTTTTTTTTAATTTTTTATTTTGTAAACATAAATCTGCCCTTTTATTAAAATATGCAGCAATGGTTTTTTACAGATTTCTCAGCTTCACTGGAAACATTGAAAAAGTATACTTTTTATTACTACTACATTTAAACTACAATTTAAAATTTGAAATTTAAACTACAATTTCAAGATGGTAACAGCCCCATTAAAAAACACTTTTATAAATCAGATGTTGGTGACTGCCCTGCAGAATGGATGTGAGTTAAGGCACCCAACAAATTCCTCAAGTCAAAGGAATACTGATTGATTGTGGCTGAAATTATCTCAGGGTGAAAAGACTTAATGTGAGTAGTAAATAATGTATTGTCTTTCATTTTTGACTTACTGTATAAAAATCCAAATAAAATCAGGTTAGTTCATGTGGGGTCAGCTGACAAGTGTTCACATGTTCTTAGTGAAGCAATAGTTTTTGGCACCAAAATATGACCTCCTAACAATTGGGTGAATAAAAGTCACATTATCTCCATCAATTGGACAGCTGGTCTGTGAAACATACCCCCAACCCAGAATCCCATTCTTCCATAGCTTTCTTCTTCTGCATGTCACTTTTTTCACCTTGACTTGTATCATGGTTTGTTTTTAGCCAGTGGAACAAATTCAGAGTGAGAATCCTGGTGGTGATTTAGTTCAGATAAGTAGTCCAGATTTAGACCTGGTTGACTGGGGGAGACTGCCTACATCTTTAAAGATTAGTGTTTTACTTTCTGGGCTATGGCAGCAGGTGCCATCAGGGTTCACACTATTTCACAACTGATTAGTTGTAGATTAGGGATCCTGCTGTATGTCTGAACCTTAAAGGTAGACGCTAGTTGCCCACATGGTAGAAAAGTGCATAAAGTATTGAAGGAATCATGGTAGTAATGAATGGACAAAGGAAAACTCATGGTTAGAAAGGCATTTAAAATTAGAATGAGAAGACTGCTCTGAGTTTTTGGGAAAACAATGAAAATATGCTTAAGATTGAAAAGAATCTGTGGGAGCAATCATCCTGGGGTTTCAAGCACTGTATCCCACTGTCAGCCACTCTTTAAACCTTCAGCGTTTTTTTTTCTGTTATGCCCATAGACTTGGAAAGAACAAGGCTTCCTTTGGCACAGGATGTTTGTACTTGATGCTTTTATGACAACTTCTCCCAAAGCTTCTTAGAATACTAAATAACTGGAAAAATGTAAAGTAGGAACTAGGCTGAGTTCTGACTTCAAATAGGCTCAGACATTTCTCTTACCTAGTTCAGAACAATTGCCTCAATAAATGATGGCTTTAAAATGGAAGGAAGCTGTTTGAGTCTTTTCTTAAAACTAACTGCCCTGTGCAGTTGACATTTGCATGTTAATTTTTACCTCAATTAAATTTTTCTCTTTCTGTACAAACAGTGGTCATGATTCCATTATATCTTTAAAAAAATCTGAATTATACATTTGTGTTTCCCGCCAAATGCTTAAATGTTTAAGCTTTGTGCACAAATGATTCCGTCTGATCCTGTTGACATGAAGTACATTGACTTTGACTCATAGCAAGTGTAAGTGAAACCTGAAATTAGGAATATTTGTTTAAAAAGGGAAATGCTTTCTTGTTGTGATCTCAACAACCATGACATGTTATTAAGCTTATAAAAATAATTATCACTTTTAGCTGCTGAGCCCTTTATTACCTTTCTGGTTGTAAGGTTTACTTGTCTTGCTCATTGTAACTCAAATAAATAAATGTGCTGTTCATCTCCAGTTTGAATGGGGACTGATTTGAATGTCATAAAGTACAATTTAAGATTGAAGAAATGGATAATAAATGCTTCTACTGTAATACTTTGCTCCTGAAAAGTTAAAACTTTTCTCAATACTGAGTTTGTTACATGGTGTAAAATGTGTATTCTGCTAATGATCATGCAACATTTGACTCACTCTGTTTGTACTGAATTAGCATTTTAGCAAGAAAAATGGTTTAATATAAACCTTGTTTACAAAATAGTGCTTAATGGTCATTGTAAATAGGATGAATAATGGGATCTGAACAAAAATTTAAAGGCAGCAAGTCTTGTTCAAACTGAAATTAAGTGTCTTAAATGGGGCAGAAAGTTGTAATACTTGCTACACGTGGAACCTCTTTGCTTCTGTATCAGCTTTACTGTGTCCTCACCCTGCTATTAAGATCTAAATTGTGGAACAGTCTCCCAAGAGAGGTAATGAAAACAGATAATTCTAGCCATCCCAAAGCAATGCAGAGTATGCTGTAGGGAACAGCCCTTAAGCGGGGTTTTAATATGAATTGGCGTCATTCTTCAAATCAATTATACTGGATAAGCATGTTACAGGCAGCCCATTCAGAGAAACTAAACTCTCTCACTTTTGCCATCAGGTTTTTAGAGACAATAACCTATTGAGATGAATTGCAGATGTTACCATTTCTTCAGGCTATTGCTTCAGGCTCACTACAGACCCCACAAGGCACTTCATGGGCTTATATTTGGAAGCTGTCCTAAAGGATTAAGTCTTTAAAAAAGTAAATTCTGTAGAAACTGGATGGAGCCTTTGGCAAGCTGCTAGAATGATTCACATTTAACTTTGTATGGCATTAAACTGAGCAAAATGTCCGTATTAAACTCACTAGTACTATTGTAGATGCAGAAACTAGTTGTTGGAGCTAAAGGATTCTGGTTGTGAATGATGCATGTTTGCTGATTCTCTGTGTTCAAGACCACTGTTTGGACTAAAACTAAAATTTCTGTTGGATGAGCCTGGCCACCAGGAGGAGACCTGTCCATCTACTTTCCTCTACATGGATGGCTCAGGAGGTCCTCATTCTTTTCACCGTTCATTTTCTGTTGAAAACCTCTTACAGCCTTTTGGGGCCCTCTTCCCCCTGCCTCCCCTCCCCCCATCATGACTTTCTCTTCCTGTCCATTTTATTTTTCCCAGTTTGCATATGGAGCTTTCACATTTCTCTAAAAAGCTTGTAGCAGCAATCAAGGAGATGGTTTACTCCATGTCTAAGATGAGTCCATTTCCCTCTCCTTTAAAGGCACTTACTAAATTCTTTTTGAGCAGGAGAACAAAAACTATGGGATGGATTGGGGGGCTCGTAAAGAACACGGCAGTACAGAATGCTTGACTCTGGGCTGAGAGCATTAAAAGAGAACCAGCTGCATGTGACAGCACCACTTTACTATCTCAAGTTGGGGGTAGGGGAGGAGATACTTTGCACCAAAAAAAGTGAATGCTAGTTTAAAAAAAAAAAGCTAACTTCTCAGTAGCAGGGACACGGAGTTAAAAAAAAATGCACTCCTAAATATTCATCAACCATTGTCCTTCTTTTCCCTCTGCAATGCTTTGCTTACAGAGCTGGTGTATGGAATGGTTATGATTTCAGAAAAGGGATGCTGCTTTCCTCTGGCTATGCATGGTCTCTTCTATTGTTCAGTGTCCATTACAGGTTATTACATGGCACTTTTCATCTGGCCTATCATTGTTCTGGATGTGCTAATAGGAGTCAAGCTTGTGATCCTTATGGCCAGGGCTCGCCGAACTGCGGCGAACCCCACTCACCAGCTGCACTGGCCGGCGATCTGTGCATGTGCAGGTCCTTCTGCGCATGCGCAGATCACCTGAACCTGGCTCTTTCAGGTTACAATCTACTCGCCCGTGGCGAATAGATTGTATTTGTCGAGCCCAGCTTATTGCTAGAGGAAGTGGGGTGCTATCTTACCCCAGCTACATGTGACCTTCACTTAAGACCTGTTTTTGTTTCCTTGTTTCCACTGCAACAATAGTTGTTGATTCTATATCTTTTATTAGAAGACCAAATGTTGATGCCAGGACGAAAATCAGTACTACAATGGGATTGCAAGGAGGCCACAACAGTCATGCCTACTGAAAAATTATAATGGATCAAGTAGATTAAAATGGAGGTGATGGCCTCACTGTAGAAGCAATGAAGCAATGCTGGCATCCTGAAGACCTTCACTGAAGTCACTTTTGCTAGATGTCCCTTCTTTTGGGCATGAAGTTTTAAAGCTTAAAGTAAAAGACAATATATATTAGCCATGTAGAACAAAATTTCTGCAGCTTCATCCCTTGCTGCTTATAATACTCGAAACCCCTCAAATCCTTATGTGGCCACCATTATGGTGAGAAAGGGATGTTAGTCTAAATGTTTCCTTAGAAAGAAGAATATAGCATCTGTCCCACCTTTCAAGATGGATATCTAGTTGGGAGTCTTGCTTGACCAAAAGTGAGGACACAAAATGGTAAAAGACTACTAGCTCCATCCTCTTCAAGAATCAAAGGAAATAGGAAATGTTCGGCCTGACAAAGTTTTCTTTCACCTACAGATTCTTTAGAATAAAACAGTGACTGAGCTGAAAAGTAGAAACTGCCATGTGGTTTCTTTTAGGCTTCCCTACTCAGCTGGCTATGTATGTGTGAGAATGTAAGGTTGAAAAGTCACCCTTTAAATGCACACACATGAACACATCTGTTTGCTCAATTGAGAGACTCAACATACTGTCTCCTTACCCAAGATAGGAAATGTTTGGCAGTTCCCCAATTGCTACCTACAATACAGTCAATCTGCATGTGGAAATGACCCTTGCTGTTTCCCATTATTTGTTTTCAATTAGACCGAAGCCATGTTCATCAGCAAAATGGCTTCCACATGTGTTGTCAAATAAGAACTGCGGAGCAGCAGAGACACTACGAAAGATGGATGGGGAGGAAGGAAGAGGGAGATGGAAGGGATAGAATGGCAGTTCTCCCAGCCTGAGGGAAGATGTGAGGAAAGGGAATCCTATCCAAGCCATCAAGGGAAGCCCAATTACACTAACTTCCTGATGAGACTTGATGTATGGGGAAAGTAGTTCTTCTAGGTGCTTTGGGCTGAAATTAGGCTTGCCACATACTCATGGATAAGAGTGGCCTGGTGGAGAATGCAGATCATTTCACTGACTTTTAAAATCAAGAATGGATGTTTTCTAAAGTATCTGTCTAGGAATTTGGGGGAAGTTTTATGGCCTTGGTTATACAAAGGATTGGAGTAGATTATCATAATGGTTTCTCTGGGTATTCATAGATTCCAAGACCAGAAGAAACTAAACTCAAAGCTGAGAATGCAGGTGTTCATTAGGGATATAAGCAATAAGTCGCTTTCCCCCTACCACCACTACCCCTTGCTGCCTTTTAGAGGCAGCAAGGGGAGCACAGGAGCTGGTGTTGGTGGCAGCCATCTTAAGCTGGTTTACCCCCCCAGCCACCATCTCTACAGGGGGTAGTGGGGAGAGGGCTCGTGCCTAGTCCCAGAGGTGCCTCTGCTTTTTAAATGGATTAAGAGCCTAAAGTGCAGAAGGGGGGGGGGGCCAGTGTGAGCCAGGGCAGCTGATTCCCAGCTCACACAGGGTCCCCCTGCTGCGCACCAGCCTATTAAATGGTTCTTAATCCATTCAAAAGACAGAACCACTGCAGGATTAGCTCCTGGACTGGGAGCGAACCCCACTGTGGCCCCCACTAATTGACTAGCGGATGGAAAATCTGACTAGTCGATTAGCTGATTAAACTAAATTTAACATCCTTAGTGTGTATACTATTAATATTAGACAATTTTTTCAAATGTAATTGACCATTTCAAATTTTATAAATTCAATAAATTGTGAACTCAAATTTGTCTTGAAACTGTCTCCCTCATTTTGACCAGCAGTAATTAGGGATGCTCGCTGTTAAGAGATGGGATTACCATGGTCCTCTGACTGGGTTTTATGAATGATCAATGCACCACCTATACATACAGGAATATTACCATAGCCACATCACACACATGGAAAGAGGCAAATATTGGGGACTCCATTATATTGTTGGAAAACAGTACACTAGTTTTGAAGTACTGCCCTGACATGATGGAAAAATGAAACAATTGCAGCATTTTCTACTGCCGTTCAAAGCACAGTTACAAAGATGGTTGAGAGTTTCCTAAACAGTCAGACTCCCTACAATGGCGAACGTAAACACTTCAAATGGAAGGGATACTACTGTTTCATTGGAAAGGACATCTACAATTCATCAACACCTAAAAGGCAACTGTAAATATAACAGCACTGATGTAGATAAATGTACCCTGGAAAATCTTTGCTAAGAGTTAAAGGAGTCCCTACAAGATCACTCGGACACCTTGACTATTTGTTTCACCCAACATGTAAGTTAACACTTTTTAGACAAGATATAGTTCGGGCAAAAAAAAGTACCGGTAGCTGAAAACTGACTGCTATGTGATTTGTTTTCTTCGTACAGAAGACCAGGCATAGATGGAATCACTGTAGTCAATGAAGATCAGATTAGGTCGTAGGACTACTATGACCTAAGAAGCTCTGGTTCTGAGGTCACTCACCTTATTATGACTTGCCTTCCATGTCAAGAAGTTCTTCACCCACTGAGACAGGTCTGAAAAGACTGAGATTTGCAGCATGGTTCTTGAACAGAACCAGTTGAGCAAAGCATGGTATTTTCAGGGAAATCATTTAATACTGGTCTCTTTAAAGGTATCCGTACTCAGATCTCATTTGGTTTACTAAAGTGAATGTGTGGAATGCTGTGCAGAATGGAATGTATTAAGGATTTATACTCAGTGTATCTAAGGCAGGGGTGGGGAACCTCAGGCCCGGGCGCCGCATTTGCCCCTTCCCCCAGCTTACCCAGATTCAGCTCCCAAGGCTCAGGACCACCCCCAGAATTCGAGAGTTTGCACTGGCACTCCAGTCTTCTTCCCCCTCTCCCCCTCCCCCTTACCATGGGGTTAGACCACAAAATCTGAGTCTGGGCCCTCTTTGGCTCAGGTGTACAAGGGGAAGGTAGGGAGTGTCTTCTCCTCAGATGAGCACATCAGTGAGGGGGTTTTGTTTTTGTTCTCACTTCTGTGCAGCCCCTGACTGATTTTTTTTTCTGTGTCAGAGGCCCATGACCCAAAAAGCTTCCCCACACTGATATAAGACTTTGTGTACCCTTCCAAGTTTTAATGCAGCCGTGTTATCACTACACTAGCTCTGGGGGAGAACTAATTCAGCACTCTAGATAAACTACCTCTAGGAGCAACATAGCTTTCAGCTCTGGGATCTTGTTTCTACTGGCACTTTAGCACACTAGCTTGCTGCACTTGGGAGGTGTATTTTTTATTTTATTTTATTAAGACCCCTGAGTGAGACAAGTTACAGCACTGTAACTTGCTGGTGTAGACAAACCCTAATCTTAGTGGCTCTTGCCCATTCAAACTCTTTATTTACTCCCCTTATCCTTTTAAAGTCACACTGATGGACCTTGCACCTCAACAGGTGAAGAGGCCTTCCTCAGCTAGGATTTCATAACCATAGTTCTTTGGGTCTGAAGACTTCACCCTTTAAAGTGGTATTTCATAAATCCAAAAACATAGCTCAGCAATCTTTCTGCTGGAACCCCAATGATCAAGGTAATTGGTATGCATTACATTCTCAGTTGTCAATGAGTATTCTCTTGGTGTCTAAAGTCCTTTTTAACTATTATGTGAGTGAAGCATAGGTCTGAGGTGCAAGAAGACTAGCTCCATATGGATCTGCTATCTCTGATAGGACAGTCTTGAGTGGAAAAGATAGGCAAGTGAAATGGAACTAGGTCGTCACTGTGCAACATGGTTTCTTGTAATAGCATGAATCTCAAACTATGCAGTCTTGGCAAAGGATCTTTAGTGGTACTAGCTAACCGATTGTCTACATAGTGATTGAGTAGTTTCTATACTATTTTTGTATAATTGGTATTCCTCCTCCTAGCTCACTTTAGTTTTGATAGGAAAGGTTCAAGTATACTTTAAATGTTTCTTATAGCAGCTATAGAGAGGAAATCCTGCTAGATGGAATCTAGTGAGCAAGCAATCTACTGCCTGGGATTGCACACATGTGAAGATCTAGTTGTCTACATTGATTGACTTGAGACTAGACCCTACATGTAATCAACAAGTGTGTTTCTTCAAGAGTATCTGCCAAATGGGAACTTTTCACTTTGCTGTGCATATAATGTCCATTTGGAAAAGTACTTTTTTCACCCTTTTAAAAGCCTCTTTGGCCTATCTTGCTTTTTAAAAAAGATACTCTAATTCTAAACATACCTTTCAATCTGCCAAGATCCAAATAATGGGACACTGACATTTCTGAAAAGCACGACACTACTCTAAACATAAGTAGCTTAAATTGATGTGAAAAATCTATCTTCAGTAAATTCTATACCCTTGGGCTCATCATCCTGCCTTACAGTTGTGAACTATTTGAAACAAAGCTGCACTAAATACTGTATGCAGGAGGTGGAAAGCATGGTCTAAACAGAATGGCATATATATGCTGCAATTTAAAAATATATTTCAGTATTGCTCTTTTGTTAAGAGTAAAAAAGGCTTTAAATAAAGATCAAAGGACCTTGTTACAAATACTACATTTTAAAGATGAATAAGGTTAAAGGGTCCCAATGCAAGGTATAGTTCACTTCTGAGCCCTCACCCTCAAGGGTGAAAGTAGTTGTGGAAAGTAAGGATTCATGTGCTTGTTCTGTAACTATTGTAGACGGTCATGAATGGAACAGGGTTGGGATCAATTATATGGTGACCCTTCTTTCTACTGTGAATTGGGATTCTTATTCTCAGGCATGAGTCTTGCAAATTCCAGTGGCTCTGGGTCCCAGAAAAGCACAAGCAAACATCACATTTGTCAGGCATCAAGTTAATGTTAATGAACCAACCATGCAATAAAAATCAGACATTAAACTTTCTTCCCTGCATTTTCCTAGCCTAAGGAAGTATCCTTATCTGAGGCCCCCTGCTATTTCCCAATGTTTGTACAGGACATACTGCCCCTCTCTGGGCTGGCAATATGTATATGCTTGCAGCTAAGCTGATTATCCCAGTCAAGCCGGGCCTCATGCTGAGGTGTAATTGAATAGAGCATGTCTGGCTTTCTCCCCACAGACTGTTTCACCATGGAAAGGCCGATTTCCTGTGCAAACTTACCCAACCTTCCTTCCCCTTCAACAGAAGGTTTGTCTGTTTGGCTGACTAGACAAGAATAGTTTCAAAAAGCTGCTGGCTCATGGCTTGTGTTGAGTCTCCTGCCATATTGCCTTGTCCTTGTGATTCATGGCAGGGGGCTCGGTTTTTTTACTGCTGCAAGGTGCCCATAATTGTACATGCGGTTCCCACCAAGTAGAACATGCAGTCAAAGCCCCAGCCAGGTTTGTGGGGCCATGTCAGATTTTACGTTGCCTTCCTTTGTCTTAACTTGATCCTTTGCCTTCACCTGTTGCTGCTATCTGTTGGGTATCTTTACTAGCATCCCCCATGTGACTTAGAGGCATAGTCACAGTAACAGGGAGCTTACATTGACCCAAGACAAAATTTGTTACAGACACATACACAGCTAGGTTGATGCAATGCCAATGCAAGCACCCATCAATGTATACAGAAGCAACATACTACAGATGCATCAACTGAACTTTTATAGTCTAAACATGGCCTGAACCTATTTATTAACCTACTTGACTGGAAACTTAGATGACTTTATAGACAGACAATGATTAACTGCAATTTTCAATGGATTTCTCTAAAGCTTGTCTTAAGCAGGTGAGAGCTTTAGAAATATGAGGAGTTTTTTAAACTTTTAAAAATAGCAGGATTATAATGTGTAGGAAAACCTACAGAACCTAATGTGTTTTCAGTGTACTGTGCAGCATTACAATTGTTTGGTAGCACACATGTTCAGCATGGTTAATGCCACATTGATGGGTGTTATGCTGTGGGGGGAGGTAATTATACCAAGTACAACCAAGCTATGTTAACTGAGTGTATTATGCTCTTCTCAATATTGCTTTCACCATGTCAAGCATCTCACAAGATCTTGCAAAACTGAAGTCATCTTAAGAAATAGAAAATAGGAAACTTGTCAAAGCAAAGATGTGTGAATACTTTTGTACCAAGCATGGTTACAGTACTTGTATGGCCCATCATCCCTTGGAATGTAGTGATCAAAATGAGAGAGGGGGAAGTGAGGCACCAAGAACAAAGCTGGCACAACCAAGGGGATCAAACTTAATTGTTTTGTTACGATATCTAATGAGTCTTTATAGTATGATTTGACAAATTATAATGCTAGCTGAAATGCCTACCTTTGAAGTACACCTTCTGTGTAAGGTGAACATACTCTGAGGATTTGCTTCCCAGGAAATGTCTCCTTTCTGTGTTTTTGACAATATCATGGGTTAAGTGCAGTTATTTGGTCCCTTGAACATTTTTTAAAGAATAAACAGTGAGTGTAATTGAACAAATGGCTACAACTTTTAGTAAATGGGGGGAGGAGAGGAGGCTGACTACTATATATTTTAGAGAATTTGTCTGTGTCTATCAGTTTGTTCAAGAATGCCTCCTAAATGTGATAATAGATGGGATTACTACATTTGGGATGTAGCTTCCTCTTCTCCTAACTTAAAGCAGGGTCAGGGTTGGGTTGTGCCAGCATAATGGGATATGCCTGGACTTAAGTTTTCTCATAAAATGGAAATGGAGGGGTCTGGCAGAAGGGACAGTCACTCTAGAGAATGACCACAGGGGAATAGCAAGGGGCCAGAGATGGGGACCTGGGCATCTCTAACCCCAGTGGGCCAGGAGGGGGAAGAGGTAGAAAAAGGGACAACTATCTACTATTTTTCAGAGTTTTGTATGTGTTTGTCCCCCAGCCAGCTGACCTGCACTCCACTTCTGGCCCCATAGTGCTGAGGCTGTCCTCTCTTCTTGGGGCAGCCTCAATCCTGAACCCCTCATCTCCAGTCCCAGAACAATGATTTCAATGAAGTATCAAATAAGTTTTGTTTTATGGTATCAAAGGCTAGGAATGCCCCTCTAACATGTATATTAGCGAAGCTAGACAGTCCCTATGCCAAAAGATAATGGATACAAATCAGACATCTCATGGTAACACAGGTAAACCTGCAGGGGAACATTTTAACCCATGTGGTAACTCAATCATGGATTTCAAAGTAGATGTTCTTCTACAAAGGAACATCACCAGCCAATTAGTGTGGAATTGGTATTCATCTACAAATATGACTGTTTCCCTGGGCTTGAACAAAGACCTGAATTGAATGTTGCACTACAAAGCCAGTCTCCCCTGCCTTCAATAACTTTATTTTTACATCAAAAACTAAGAATGGGATACTCCAGCTCATCTGATGAAGTGAGCTTTGCCCATGAAAGTTCCCGGTACTATATTTTTTTTGTTAATTTCTGGGTATGTCTACATTGCAGTGTTTTTTCTAGAAAAAACAATACTTGCATCTACACTGCTATTGTGTTCTCTTGACAAAAAGTCAAAAGCTGGAAAAACCCCTCCCTTTAACAGTAAACCACTCTAGAGGAAGAAGACTTTTTCTGAAAAAGCTTTTTTAGAAAAAGGCAGGTGTGGATGTGGAAGAGGGAGTTGTCAAAAGAAGAGGCCTCCAGGAAAGAACACAGGTGCCCTGATGGCCACTCTGTCTAATCTCTATAGTTCCTGGCTCCTGCCAGGAAAGCTTAAAGCTGCAAGCACCCGGAGAAGTCTTGTGGCAGGAAGCTGGCCCAGACAGCTGCACCTGACTGCATGGGTCTCCCTGTCACACAAATGGGGAACCATGACCCAACCACAACCCCCAGCCCCCCCAAAACCCCTCTGGCCCTCACAGGAAGCTCAAGCAGGGCTCCCAGGACCCAGCTAGGGGCACAAAAAGGTGTGTACTGTTGTGGTCCAGGGCAGAGATCCTATCCCTTCTGGAGGTGTGGGATAAGGAGACCCTGCAGGATCTCCACTCCCAGTAGCACAACGCCAGTAGCTATGGATAGAAGGCCAAGGCTCTGGCTACAACCAGTCATCACCCCCGGACCTTGGAGTAAGGTCAAAGAGCTATGTCAGGGCTACACCAGAACAAGGGAGCACAGCTTTCACTTCAGGGCAGGACTCCTCTCCTGCCCCTACTATACCAAGCTCCACTGCATCTTGGGGGATAGTGCAGCCCTTTCTACACTCCTGGTGGTGGACTTGGGGCTAGAGACATCTGTCGTCAGCCGCCCGGGGCTCCCTGGCCAGGAGTAGGGGGATGAGATGGAGGAGGTGGGGGAGACAGACAGCACGGTCACCCTCAAGCTGGTACCTCATATTTCCCAGGCATCCTCTGAGAGCGGGGAGGAATCATCAGGTGCGTGCTCTGTGCCACACAACCTCAGGAGACAGCCACGGAGCACCTGCTCTGTCTCATGGGAGGCCTCACACACATCTGACCTTTCGGGGGGATGCCCTTCCACCACCAGCCAGCCCAGAAGCAAGCTGGGGACAAGGGCACATGCATGCACACACCGAGGCGTGCCGCACATGGGCATGCCTGCATGTGAGACACACCACTCGCTCCCGTGGACAGTGCTGCGAGGTGCAGGTGTTTGTGTGGCCCCCATTGAAGGCCAGGCTGCTCCAGGCCCCTCTCCCTGCCATGGGATCACAGTGTGGCCGGAGACTTCCCCTAACTGCTTGTCTGTGGGACCAGGGAGGAGGAAGCAGGAAGCATGATCCCCTGGGTAGCTTGCGGCCCCTGTGAGGCAGGGCCCCTGTGAGGCAGGGTCTGCAGCTCCACACATGTGGCTTTGCTCCTGGAACATCACCATCGTCTGGCCCAAGGACTGTTGATCGTAGAGGAGGGCACAGCCTCAGGGTCAGTGTCTGCATTCATGACTGACCACCTCTCCCTCTTTATTCTCCACAGCCAGATCAGCCATCACTGAGGAGCAATCACTGCCAGCCTAGGCAGCCACCCAACCCCAAGGAAGCCACAAGTGCCGAAGGGTCCAGGAAGACCTCATGAGACGACATGTGGCCATCCTCTGGGACATGCAGCAAACCCAGGCACAGGAGGTCTGGGATGACGCCCAGTGGCAGTACTAAATGTGGGATCAGCTTGTGCAGCTGGGTGAAAACGTGCCACCATCTGTGAAATGATGGTACTTCCTGCTTCTGCCCCACAAGATGCCTATGTCCCCTTCCATACTCCTCACCCACTCCCGAGGTCGCCGATGTCCCCAGACCCAAGGCAACACTTCCAGCTGCACCACTCCTAGCCCTGAGCCCCGCCCTGCCCCGCTCCATGCACATTCTGAGCCCCCCTCTTCCCCAGTTACTTTGTATTTTTTTTCCATAATGAAAGTTCTTGGTTTTCAACACAAAATTGGTGTCTTTATTGACTGTACAGGGAAGCTGGAAAGGGAGGGTTTGTGATGGGAAAGGCATAAAGGGGTAAAGCACAGGCCCCTGGTGGGGAGGCAGTGGAAAGAGTTACTGGGGTCCTTGAGAGAAACTCTCCCTCAGGGCCAACTGCTGGGCCTGGCTGATAGCAGCAGTGCACAGCTGCTTGAAGACCCTTCCCTCCCAGCCAGCCTCTACCCCCCACCCCAGTAGGAAGGCCTTCCCTTCCTCTCCACAATGTTGTGGAGAACACAACAGGCAGAGACCACTTTGGGAATGTTGTGCTCTCCCACATTGGGGCAGATCAGGAAGCACCTGAACTGCACTTTCGTGAGCCCACAGGTGCATTTCACCTGTATTCAGGCCTGGATTAGGTGGGCATTGAATTGGTCCCTGCTGGGGTCCAGATGGCCAGTGTACGGCTTCATCAGGCACGACATGAGGCGGTGATAGGCTGTGTCCTCCATGATGCACAGTTGCTTCTGAATGTCTCCAACCCGAATGTCACGCTGGGGGAAGAATGTGCCAGCCTCTAGTTTGTGGTGGAGGCTGGAATTCCTTAAAATGCAGGGGTCGTGCGCCCTGTCTGACCACTTGACGAAAATGTCAGTGAACACTTCGTGGTGATCAACTAGGGTCTTCAGCACCATCAAGAAATAGCCCTTGCAACTGATGTATTGGGCGGCTTGATTATGTGGTGCACGGATGGGAATATGGGTTCCATCGATGGCTCTGCCACAGTTTGGGAACTCCAGGGTGGCAAATCCAGCCACGATGGATAGGGTCCAGGTCTCCCAAGCAGATGACCCTGCGCAGCAGGATGGAGTTGATGGCCCTCACCACCTGCAGAAGGAGACAAACACATACAAGAGGGAATCAGAGAGGGTGCCTGAGCTCTTGGGAGCTCTCTGAGTCCCTCCTTCTTCCCCCTCTCAAATACCCCAGGAGCCACCCTCTATGAGGCCCTCCCCACAGAGCTGTGAGAGGGTGGGATGGCACAACCCCTTAGTGACGGGGCTCCCCCCTAACCCCAGGCCAACCTCTGCACCCCTAACCCCCCTTCCCTAGGGTCCCCCTTTCCAGGACTCTCCACTTCCTCCCCTCCCCCCCCCGACCCTCCGAGGACTGTAGCCCAAGAGGGCTTTACCTTCATGAGGAGGGCCCCGACAGTGAACTTTTCCCACTCTGAACTGGTTGCCCATGGCCTGGTAGCTGTCTGGGGTGGCGAGCTTCCAGACAGCGATGGCGACCCACTGCTCCAGGGGGATGACAAGTCACATCTGGATTTTCCATGATCAGAGGGCAGGGGCAAGCCAGGCACACAGCTCCTTAAAAGCGGCCTTCTTCATGCAGAAGTTTTGGAGCTGATCAAACTTCTGGTCATCCTACTCCTCCATGACCAGTCAGAACTGGTGTCGAGCCTCCAAAACTCTCTCTCCACTGTGGGGTGCAGTTGCAAGGGCCTTGCTCCCACACCCAGGGAGAGGGTCGTGATGAGCTCGGTGTCAAGTTCGTGCAGGGTTATGAAGGCAGCCTGCACAAACTACTGCAGAAACTGCAGCATGGCAGCGTGGAGCCATGGCATGCCCAGGGGCAGCTCCACCTCCACGGCAAGGAGTGTGCAAAAGCTGGGCAACCAGAGGACGTACTGCTAAAGCTTTGCTGTCCCTCGGAGAGGTAGGCAAGCACGCAGCAGAAGCAGAGAAACAGTGGTCTGCAGGGGTCCCTTTAATCCAGTGGTCTCCAACCATTTTGAGCACAGGATCACTTTTTGAATTTAAGTGCAATCCAAGATCTACCTCAAATATAAATACCCTTGCCCTGCCTCCTTCCTGCCACTTCTGAGGCCCAGCCCCTGCTCACTCCAGCCTCCCTCTCTTGCCCATCCTCATTCACTTTCACCAGGCAGGAACAGAGGGTTGGGGTGCAGGCTCTGGGAGGGCGTTTGGACGCAGGGGGTTCAGTGCTAGGGCAGGGGCTTTGGGTATAAGAGGGGGTTCATGACTGGGGGTAGGGTTTTGAGATGTGGGCTCCAGCTGGGCACTGCTTACCTAAGGTGGCTTCTGGGTAGTGGGGCTACGGCAGGATCGCCCCTGCACCACTCCCTAAAGCAGCCAGCAAACTCCTTCCATCCCAAGTCCTGTTGTGCCTCCTCTCTGCTCTGTGGAGAAAGGATAAAGAGTGGGAAGGGGCACTTTGACATCAGCACCCCCTCCTCTCCCTCTGCTGTCCTGCACAGAAATAAGAGACTCCTGAGGGGACAGCTCCAAGGTAAAGGGCAGGAGGCTCCCCAAGGGGAGGGGCAGCTAAAGCGCTGGCACTTAATAGCCTCTTGTCAAACCAGTCAGGATCACCTGTCAGAGCTCCAAGATCCACTGCTTTAAGCTCTTGTCTTAGCTAGCCTTAGTCATGGCCACAGTCAACATCTATTTTTTTAAAAATTATAAATAGGGGTTAATTTTTAAAAAGGTCTGAATTAAATGTGCACAGCTGGGGTAAGTTATGGGAGAAGGCAGTTATTTAATAACTGGCAAAATTTCAAAAAAATCAAATATGAACTGTCCATACCATCTGTTAAAATATACAAAGTGAAGAGTCTTGCACTACCTTCCACATTCTAATGACTTAACCAACCAATGGAGGTGCTTATCAACCTCTTGTAACTACTTGAACCATCCACTCACTCTCTTTTCCCCCTCAGTTGTTTGTCCTCCTCCTCCTTTCTTTTATTTGTTCTTGGATCTGGACTTCTAATATTTAGGCTTGCCAGATGCTTTCACCAAAAATCCCAAACCTGGAAGGAAAAAAAGGTAGTTGAGCAACAAAACCAAACCAAAATGCAAAACTCCATGCTCTTCGCTTCTCCCCACCCACACCAGATGCTGCAGAAGAACAATGTCCCCACCAGCTTTCCATTCAAGAAAAACATTTTACAGGTCTGGTATTTTCTGTTTTGTTTTGTTTTTTAAACCAGACAGGGGCCAGCAAAAACCAGCCAGCTGGCAGCCCTACTACGATTCCCGTCATCTGACGAAATGGGCCGTGCCCACAAACGCGCATGATTCACGTTTTGTGAGTCTCTCAGGGGCTACTAGTCTGTTCGTTGTTGTTTCAGTGTTTCCTGTAAGAGACTAACTGGGAACCCCGCTGAAGTTCTTGCCCTCACGCAGCCTTGTGTTTACTCTGCCTGGGGAGCGGTTTTTTTCAACCCGGTGTTTTTTTTCCAAAGCCACAAGCGCACAGAAAGCGTAACGTACTGCCCTGACTCGTTCCCCACACAAATCTCACCCTTCCACGCCTGGCTGGGAGCCCGCGGCCTGGGTCCCTGAGAGCCCTTTCCCCTCATGGCTGACGGGGGAGGGGAGGCAGCGGGGAGGCCCCCCTGCACCCTAGCTCTGAAGGAAGGCAGGTCGCGCCCCGAAGCAGGCCCTGCGGCTCGGCCCGCTCCTCCCCGGGCTCGCGGCGGCTCCGCAGCTTAATGGCACCTGTGGGTGTTCGGTGCCGGTTGGTCTCGTGCTGCAGCAGTCACGCCCCGCACGAGCGCTGGGGTGTAAATACAGTAGGAGCGCGCGCAGGGTCGTAGTCCCGCAGAAGTGTGGGGGGGGGAGGGGATATTGCGCAGAGATCATGGACGCTCATGGTAACCAAGCAACTGGGAGTGGGTCGCTCAGTGTATCTTTAAGGACGAGTCGAGCGCCTATTGCATGGATGCGGTTCGAAACTCGGCGCCGCGCTCACAGGATTGGATAGGGCCCTCGGTACAGGGGTGGGCAGCAAGGCAGGGGCTGCCGCGAGGGGGTGGAGGCGGAGCTCGGCTGGGGGGGGGTCGC